ACATTTCGGGCTTTTTAGGGTGTTTTAAAATGCAGTTTCTCAGGGAGGAAAAATAGGTTATTTTAAAATGGCCATAACTCCTTAAATATTGACATTTCGGGCTTTTTAGGGTGTTTTAAAATGCAGTTTCTCAAGGAGGAAAAATAGGGTATTTTAAAATGGTCATAACTCCTTAAATATTGACATTTCGGGCTTTTTAACCTATTTTAAATTGCAGTTTCTCAAGCAGGAAAAATAGGGTATTTTAAAATTGTCATAACTCCTTAAATATTGACATTTCGGGCTTTTTATAAAAAATTGGGTATTTTAAAATGGCCATAACTCCTTAAATATTGACATTTCGGGCTTTTTAACCTATTTTAAATTGCAGTTTCTCAAGGAGGAAAAACAGGGTATTTTAAAATGGCCATAACTCCTTAAATATTGACATTTCGGGCTTTTTAGGGTGTTTTAAAATGCAGTTTCTCAGGGAGGAAAAATAGGTTATTTTAAAATGGCCATAACTCCTTAAATATTGACATTTCGGGCTTTTTAGGGTGTTTTAAAATGCAGTTTCTCAAGGAGGAAAAATAGGGTATTTTAAAATGGTCATAACTCCTTAAATATTGACATTTCGGGCTTTTTAACCTATTTTAAATTGCAGTTTCTCAAGCAGGAAAAATAGGGTATTTTAAAATTGTCATAACTCCTTAAATATTGACATTTCGGGCTTTTTATAAAAAATTGGGTATTTTAAAATGGCCATAACTCCTTAAATATTGACATTTCGGGCTTTTTAACCTATTTTAAATTGCAGTTTCTCAAGGAGGGAAAATGGGGTATTTTAAAATGGCCATAACTCCTTAAATATTGACATTTCGGTCTTTTTAGGGTGTTTTAAATTGCAGTTTCTCAAGGAGGAAAAATAGGGTATTTTAAAATGGCCATAACTCCTTAAATATTGACATTTCGGGCTTTTTAGGGTGTTTTAAATTGCAGTTTCTCAAGGAGGAAAAACAGGGTATCTTAAAATGGCCATAACTCCTTAAATATTGACATTTCGGGCTTTTTAGGGTGTTTTAAATTGCAGTTTCTCAGGGAGGAAAAATAGGGTATTTTAAAATGGCCATAACTCCTTAAATATTGACATTTCGGGCTTTTTAGGGTGTTTTAAATTGCAGTTTCTCAAGGAGGAAAAATAGGGTATTTTAAAATGGCCATAACTCCTTAAATATTGACATTTCGGGCTTTTTAGGTAGTTTTAAATTGCAGTTTCTCAAGGAGGAAAAATAGGGTATTTTAAAATGGCCATAACTCCTTAAATATTGACATTTCGGGCTTTTTAGGGTGTTTTAAATTGCAGTTTCTCAAGGAGGGAAAATGGGGTATTTTAAAATGGCCATAACTCCTTAAATATTGACATTTCGGTCTTTTTAGGGTGTTTTAAATTGCAGTTTCTCAAGGAGGAAAAATAGGGTATTTTAAAATGGCCATAACTCCTTAAATATTGACATTTCGGGCTTTTTAGGGTGTTTTAAATTGCAGTTTCTCAAGGAGGAAAAATAGGGTATTTTAAAATGGCCATAACTCATTAAATATTGACATTTCGGGCTTTTTAGGGTGTTTTAAATTGCAGTTTCTTGAGGAGGAAAATAGGGTATTTTAAAATGGCCATAACTCCTTAAATATTGACATTTCGGGCTTTTTAGGGTGTTTTAAATTGCAGTTTCTCAAGGAGGAAAAATAGGGTATTTTAAAATGGCCATAACTCATTAAATATTGACATTTCGGGCTTTTTAGGGTGTTTTAAATTGCAGTTTCTTGAGGAGGAAAATAGGGTATTTTAAAATGGCCATAACTCCTTAAATATTGACATTTCGGACTTTTTAGCCTATTTTAAATTGCAGTTTCTTGAGGAGGAAAAATAGGGTATTTTAAAATGGCCATAACTCCTTAAATATTGACATTTCGGGCTTTTTAGGGTGTTTTAAATTGCAGTTTCTCAAGGAGGAAAAACAGGGTATCTTAAAATGGCCATAACTCCTTAAATATTGACATTTCGGGCTTTTTAGGGTGTTTTAAATTACAGTTTCTTGAGGAGGAAAATAGGGTATTTTAAAATGGCCATAACTCCTTAAATATTGACATTTCGGACTTTTTAGCCTATTTTAAATTGCAGTTTCTTGAGGAGGAAAAATAGGGTATTTTAAAATGGCCATAACTCCTTAAATATTGACATTTCGGGCTTTTTAGGGTGTTTTAAATTGCAGTTTCTTGAGGAGGAAAAATAGGGTATTTTAAAATGGCCATAACTTCTTAAATATTGACATTTCGGGCTTTTTAGGGTGTTTTAAATTGCAGTTTCTCAAGGAGGAAAAATAGGGTATTTTAAAATGGCCATAACTCCTTAAATATTGACGTTTCGGGCTTTTTAGCCCATTTTAAATTGCAGTTTCTCAAGGAGGAAAAATAGGGTATTTTAAAATGGCCATAACTCCTTAAATATTGACATTTCGGGCTTTTTAGGGTGTTTTAAATTGCAGTTTCTTGAGGAGGAAAAATAGGGTATTTTAAAATGGCCATAACTCCTTAAATATTGACATTTCGGGCTTTTTAGGGTGTTTTAAATTGCAGTTTCTTGAGGAGGAAAAATAGGGTATTTTAAAATGGCCATAACTCCTTAAATATTGACATTTCGGACTTTATAGCCTATTTTAAATTGCAGTTTCTTGAGGAGGAAAAATAGGGTATTTTAAAATGGCCATAACTTCTTAAATATTGACATTTCGGGCTTTTTAGGGTGTTTTAAATTGCAGTTTCTCAAGGAGGAAAAATAGGGTATTTTAAAATGGCCATAACTCCTTAAATATTGACATTTCGGGCTTTTTAGGGTATTTTAAATTGCAGTTTCTTGAGGAGGAAAAATAGGGTATTTTAAAATGGCCATAACTCCTTAAATATTGACATTTCGGGCTTTTTAGGGTGTTTTAAATTGCAGTTTCTTGAGGAGGAAAAATAGGGTATTTTAAAATGGCCATAACTTCTTAAATATTGACATTTCGGGCTTTTTAGGGTGTTTTAAATTGCAGTTTCTCAAGGAGGAAAAATAGGGTATTTTAAAATGGCCATAACTCCTTAAATATTGACATTTCGGGCTTTTTAGGGTATTTTAAATTGCAGTTTCTTGAGGAGGAAAAATAGGGTATTTTAAAATGGCCATAACTCCTTAAATATTGACATTTCGGGCTTTTTAGGGTGTTTTAAATTGCAGTTTCTTGAGGAGGAAAAATAGGGTATTTTAAAATGGCCATAACTTCTTAAATATTGACATTTCGGGCTTTTTAGGGTGTTTTAAATTGCAGTTTCTCAAGGAGGAAAAATAGGGTATTTTAAAATGGCCATAACTCCTTAAATATTGACATTTCGGGCTTTTTAGGGTGTTTTAAATTGCAGTTTCTCAAGGAGGAAAAATAGGGTATTTTAAAATGGCCATAACTCCTTAAATATTGACATTTCGGGCTTTTTAGGGTGTTTTAAATTGCAGTTTCTCAAGGAGGAAAAATAGGGTATTTTAAAATGGCCATAACTCCTTAAATATTGACATTTCGGGCTTTTTAGGGTGTTTTAAATTGCAGTTTCTCAAGGAGGAAAAATAGGGTATTTTAAAATGGCCATAACTCCTTAAATATTGACATTTCGGGCTTTTTAGGGTGTTTTAAATTGCAGTTTCTCAAGGAGGAAAAATAGGGTATTTTAAAATGGCCATAACTCCTTAAATATTGACATTTCGGGCTTTTTAGGGTGTTTTAAATTGCAGTTGATTAAAGAGGAAAAATAGGGCATTTTAAAATGGCCATAACTCCTTAAATATTGACATTTCGGGCTTTTTAGGGTGTTTTAAATTGCAGTTGATTAAAGAGGAAAAATAGGGCATTTTAAAATGGCCATAACTCCTTAAATATTGACATTTCGGGCTTTTTAGGGTGTTTTAAATTGCAGTTTCTCTAGGAGGAAAAATAGGGTATTTTAAAATGGCCATAACTCCTTAAATATTAACTTTTCGGAAATCTCAAAATCTTTTTTCATTCATAAATGTTTTATTTCGCCATTCAATATTTCGTTTTTTTTTGTCGTTGTATCCTCCAGAGCCTTCAGGGAAGACGAAGACAACAACAAGCCCATAAAAAATCAAAAAAAAAAAAAAAAAACAACAACACCAAACAAATCATCCAAAAATAGGGAGTTGACGTTTGGGGTTTTGCAAAACCTACACACACACACACAGTTGGGCATACATACACATCTCCATGGCTAGGATATGCGCCTAACTAATGGCTAGACACAAACGCACCCACTCACCCATCCAAAACTATCCATTCATCCAGCCACGGCATACACTTATACTCCAGAATAGTAGTTAGTCCTAGACAGTTCCACTATGTCTAGGATTTTATGCACGCGATTGTAGTTCTATTTTTTTTTCTTCTCTGTTTTTTGTTGTTGTTGTGTAACTGTCGTGGTCTTTGTTGTTGCTGCTATTATTTGGTTTAAGGGTAAATTACAAAAACAAAAAGCCAGCCAAAGGAACAAAAAACGCCACACGGAACCACACCGCAGCACAACACAACACACATTAAATGAGACGAGACAAGAGTAGAGTATGGCTGTGAGTAGGAGAGAGCATAGGGGAGAGGTGCAAGGAGAGGAAAGACATGGGGAATTGCCAGCAAGGAAACAAAGCCCAAAAGGGGGAAGTGTGTTTGAAAGCAACCAAAAAATGGAAATAATTACAGTCCGTCGTTCCGCTTTTAAGGTATGACATGAATATTTGAAAGAATTTCAGTTGGGATTTTTTCCCTTGCCTTTTTGAACTCAGGCTAATCGATATGGCTGGCTAAAACCGAAAAAAGGTTGGCCAAAGGGCCAAATGAAAGTTAACACATAATTGGCAAATGCCAGGACTTTTATAATTGTTAAGATATTTTGTTGTTGTTTGTAGGTTTTTTTTGGTGGGTACTTACATTTTTTGTGCAGGTGACTGAGTGATTGACAGATTCGAATTTTCTTCTGCTATTGTTTTAGGGGAAAACTTTTCAATTTACATTAGACATCGTCGCTGGAAAACAACGATGATGATGATGATAATAGAGAAGTAGGATAAAAGACAACATTTCAATAAGAGTTACTACTGTTTTTCATTACTTTTCCTTGCTGTATCTCTTCTTCTTCTCCGTCTTCTTTTACTACTTCTTCAACAGCAAGCCAGGCACAATTTTACATAATTTCCATAAAATGGACATTTGCCTAGTGGTCACAATTTCGGGGGATTTGATTATTATTTTTGTCTCCTTTTAAGCTTTCAATAGATTTACAGCTATTTTTGTATTATTTCTCACAAATTTCAATATTTCGAAATTTGCCATATTTTGTTTTTTTTTTTTTTTATTTTTCTAACATAAATTTATTTCTCATTCCATTTGTTTTCAAAAAATAACAAAACACTTGCATATGCTTTATATTTCACATCATTTTTTTCTGGATGAATTTATTTTTTTTCATGCACTTCAATTAAGGAAAAGAATTAATCCAAATTTTTTAATGAAAAATATTTTCTCTTCCTTTTATATTTCTATTATTTTTCACCGTCGCTTTTGTTGTATCCTTTAATCACGTAACTTTGCAACTGATTTTTTCCCAACAGCAGCAAATTTCCCCCATAACTGTCACATACTTACACTACAGCTGCTGCGCATTATCCTGCTGGCGGCCACTCTCTCTCTCTCTCGCATTTTCTCTTAATAACAGTAGAAAAAACTTAACTTCTTAAAAAAGACGAGAAGAATTTATATATTTTTGCACACCTTGGCCAATTTGCTCTTTTCTAATATGGAGAGAAAGAGAGAGAGAGAGAGCACAACACATGGTCACAAAGCACACACACACACACATTAGGGAAAAACTACCGCCTATTGAATCACAACACACAACTACAACAACAAAATGAAGGGACACAAAAAAAGGACCGTTAATATATGTTTGCATGAGCAGCAATAAAACCCTTGAACAGCTGATGTAAATTTGCCCCCCCCCCAATTTATTTATTTTCATTAGATTTTTCTCTTACGGTGCATGCTCTCTCTCCCTTTCTCTTTTCTTATTTGAATTTCTTTGGCATACATAACGGTGATACCATGGTAGAAGAATATAGGTAGACGCATCGACACAGCTGCTGAGACAATGAACTGTCAAACCAATTTTGGAATTGAAAATGCTGAATGAAAAATTATTTAAATTTATAGACATTGTATATATGACGTCGTATAAGAAAACATGTAAAAATCTACTTATCTTAAAAAAAAACATTTAAAAATTTTTGACATATCAATGATCCCAAGCGTTGATGCATCTACCTGTATTCTTCTGCCATGGGTGATACTCACAAAGGTAGACTATTTGACTTTTAATCATTGAAATAGACAATCAATATAACGCCTTATTTACACCGAGCATGTTACTTTCCATTAAAAGTATTATTAAGATTTAATCCCTACCAACCAATTTTTGAATGAAAACTTATTCAAATTTTTAAAAATAGTTTAAAAATAACAAAAAAATAACATAACAACCTCCGATTGGCGTCGTATAGGAAAACGTATTTGATTAAAAAAAAGAAAACATTAAAAATTTTTTGACATATCAATGTTCCTGAGCGTTGATGTATCTACTATCTTCTGTCGTTCTTTTATTATGAATTTTTTTTTTTATTAAAAAATCCATAATAAAAAAGCTTTCAACCAAATCACCGAATTGTCAAAATGAAAGAAGAGTGATTGCAAGATTCTGAAAACTCTCAGTAAAAGAATTATCAAATTTTGTGTTAAAAGAACACTTTCAGCAAAAAATGTACAAATTTTTGGGTAACCAGACACACTTATTATATGTCAAAATAAATAAAGTACAAATGTACTTTTTCGACCACAGCGAGCCCTATTTTCATCGGGAATATATAAGTGTTGTTGGTTTGTTGTGTGAAAATATATACACATAAATTTCCGTTAAAAGCCGTCCATTAAGATCTGTAATCTTTTGGAAAATAGAATATAATAACAATGTAACAAAAAGATTCGGCCGGGCCAAACTTTGAATACCCTCCACCATTTGAAAAGAATTTGGATTTTCTTAAAAAATAAAATTCGTTAAAAATTCTATTGGGGCTATACGAAGACGTAGGCCTGCATAGGCAATTTTTTGTCATAGGATGTAGTACCGAACTTCAAATATGAAATTTGCAACAACTCCAGTGTATCATGTCCTTAAAATAAAGAAAAAAAACCGAATCTCAGGGGGTGCTGTTATATGGGTGTATGCTATTCGATGTCGTGAACCTATATAGGCAAGTCTCTTCCAGAAGGAAAAGTACTCAGAAGGAACTCCTTGTGTGGAATTTCAGACAATTCCATTAAAAAATGTGGCTACAATCATCAAAATACCGAATACCTGGAGGTACCTTTATATGGGGAATTTATGATATCGTGGACCCTACATAGACAATTTTCTTTCAGGGAGTAAAGTACTCAGAAGGAATTCCTTGTTCTACCTTCTGTAATTATGTCATGGCTCCAATCATTAAAATGCCGAATATCGGGCCCATACGATATCGTGGACCGATATAGCCCATCTTCGAACTTGACCTGCCTGCACACAAAAGATTGATCTGTGCAAAATTTTAGCTTCTTATCTTAATTCGTTTGAAAAAACATGCGCACCTCTTCATTTTATGTACTTTACCTTGTCATATTTCACCGGTCTCAGATTTGAGATACGTTGTCAAATGAAAAATTTTAGATATATGACTGCATGACTGTACCTTCTTAATTCTAATTCACAACAACTAACAATTCCACAAAAACAAAATTGTCAAATTGTTGATAAAACTTGGCCGACCTTATGTAGACCTTGGGTGCAACCATGGTAGAATTAAGAAGGTGTAGACATGATATCATATGTTTGCAATTTTTTCATAAAATGTCATTTGACAACATTCCGTTATCAAAATATATATTTATAAATCCATTGTATATATACAGAGATGGGAACCTATTTTCTATGCAATGAAATTTCACAACGAAAATTACAGATAATGCAGAGATGTATATGCTTATTTCAAATGATTTAATTACCATGGGTGCAACATTTGTTCCCTTATTAGCTCTGTTCCAAGAATCATCAACTTGTGCAACATGTCTTAAAAATTAAATGTCACTACTTAATTTCCATGTAAAAAATAACGAACATGAATGCAGGAAGGGCTGGCAAAACGTAGGTTCAACAGCTTCGTAAAACAGAAATACAACCCTGAGGATGTGTCAGCTTCCTGTCAGAAATATTCAAAATTTTATGCAATTTATCATTTTATTTATTTAATATTTTTCCTTATTTCTAAAATCAGTTAAATAGCGCGAAATTTTAAGGAAATGTATGGAATTTCTTTAACAAACATGAACCAAACTTTTGTAATCACATGGTAACTCTACCTTACCTTTTTATTGTACGATGTCCCCACCATTGACCGTTATGGTGAAATCAAAAAACAAACACGTACACTCTCTTCACTTGTATCATCCGTTACTTAGCAAAGCCAGGGAGTCCATCTCTTTCTTTCTCTTTCTCGAATGTCAAAGACATAAAAAAAATATAAAATATGGAGGGAAAATGCGTGCACCAATAGGGCGAAATCTACTTAAAATTGAACAGGAAATTTAACATCAGCTGTATCATAATTAAATTCCCATGCAGAATCAACGGTTCTTTTTATCTGTTTAGAATATGCTTGTTTGGTTTTTGTGGCGGTTGTACTTTTTTGTGGTTGTGTGGTTTGTGTCAATGTTTTGCTGCCAGAGTTGGAAAGTCATAATTTTTAAGATTATTTTTATAAATTAGCGGTGCTTTTTGGCCTATAATGAATTCTTAATTCGTGTAAATAAAAGTAGATCACAATGGAATGGAAATTTCTTCAAAACAAAAGTATATATTTTCTACTGAAGACCGGACGATAAAGCCCGAACTTTTAAACGAGTCTAAAAATGTACGAATGCTTTGATATAATTTTAAAGAATTTTCAACAAAGTCAATAAAAAATACAATTTCTGGTTAAAAAAAAATCTTGGGAATCTTTAAAAAAATATTCGATCTACGTTTTCACCACACAGTCATTTATAAATAATTAATTGTTTAATTGTGTATTTTTTACAATCTAAATCTAAATTTTTTTCAGCTGGAAAATAAACTTAAATTTTTATAGCTGTTTTAAAATCCGCCCAATAGTAAATTACAAAAATTATGGAATATTACATTGTCCAAATTTTATTTTTTTTTTATTTTATTTATTTCTGTACATAAAAATACTATATTTTCTAGATGATACCTCTGAGAAACAAAATTGAAAATAATAACTTAAAAGGATAAAATGGATACAATATACAGAAATAAAACATTATTTTTGTTCGTTAAAAAAAATCTCAATAAAAAAAAATTATAAGACATTTTGTAAAATAATAAAAAATGTGATTTTAATATTTGTTTTTTTTTTTTTTATATTACAACGCATATAAACTAAAATTTTATTTTCAATTTTTCTACGTTGACGAAAAAGTCTCATATACATTGGCTCCTAGCACCTTGGTTTTGTCCGATATCACATAGAAGGTCAGCAGCGAAGTGGCAAGATTTTGTGGCCGCGTATCACTGTCAAAACCCTTTGCCGTCAAACTGCTGACAATGGGTATAACCCGGGCCAGGGCAATTTGTATGGTGTTGACATTGAAATCGTTTTGTTGTTGGCTGGTCGTGGCCTTTGAACTGAGAGTGTGCTTGTAACATTCTGCCATGGCATCAACGGCTAGAGAGAAACCTCTACAAATATTATTCGAACACACACTGCTGGCCTCATCACTTTCCAAAAGGTCCAGAGTTTCGTTGAACATTTTCTGCATCATGGCCCCGCCACTAATGTAGTCCGGTAACTGGGAAGGTAAGAGATATTTTGTCATTTTCGAACAAGGGTCTGTACTGGGGTCACTGTTAATGGCCATTTGCAGGGACCAAAACAATTGTTCGGTGTCGGCCAAACTAAGGGGCTTAGTCAATGGCAATTGCCGCATAACATCAATGACTTTGGAACGCACCAAACGTATCAGATCTGAAAGGCCACCTTCTTGTATAAAATATCGTATGAGGGAGAGATATTGTTGTTTGAGTTCATCATTTATTTTTCCTGGCGACTTTTTGTTATTCTTGTTGTCTGTGCTCGATGTTGTTGTATCCTGATAAAGATAGCCACCCAGTAAATTTAGCTGAATCCTCAAGGCCACCACCAACATTGAAGAGGCATAAATAAAGGTTGTTAGACGTGTAAACGATTGGATTTTCATTTCTTCCCACAGCTCCAGTTTATTGGGTGGATTTTGTTTCAACTGTTCCAGTAGCTCATCTGTGGAACATTCTTTGATGATGGCCTGTATCAGCTCAGCACCCATACCCAATATGACTTGATTGCAGGTCTTTTCGGTCGACTCAAAATGTTGCACACGACGACTTTTTTCCAAAAATTCTCGGGCTTGTTTTTCCTGCATTTCCATCAATTTGTTTTGGGCATATTTGTAGAGGAAAATCGAACCACCAACCACAACACCGGTTACAATAAATTTCCGGCGATGACGTGTTAAAAAATCACTCATACGGGACAACATTTTTGCAGGTTTGAGGTGTTTACGGGTGGCGTCAATTATAATGACGTCTATTAAACTATTTTAGAAAAATATTGAAAATATTTTTAAATGGACTGCTTATTGGTGGTGGTGAATTGGTGTGGGTGTTGTTGTTGTTACGAATGTAATCCTGTGGGAATGTAGGTGGTGGTAGTTCACTTTGGTAACGATTGCCACTGTGGGATTTTAAACAGATGTTTGTTCTACTTTTACGACGGATTTTATTTTTGTGACAGCTGTTACTCTCGCTAACCTCAAGAGTATTATATGTTGCCTTTGGAATGTTGCAATGGTAATGTATCCGATTCAAAAGCTGGAAAATAAAAAAGAAAGTTAAAATCAAAACTATTATAAAATATTTTCGGATGAAAGGTAAACCCATTTAGTTAAACAGCTTGACTACCATCCATTTAAACTTTGTCCCCTTTGACAGAAAACAGTAGCCACCATCGTACTACATATCAGTTAATGAGGTACTAAGATTAGTAAACTCTTTGATAAGATTATCTATCCCAGACTGCTTAGCCCTTTTGAAACATACCTTATTTGAGATTTTTGTAAGGGATGTACAAGTTCTCGATTCGATTTCTTTGGTGTGATGAATGACCTATAATTGTTAATATTTTCATGAATAATTTATAATGCAAAATATCGATTGGTAACTAAAGGGCAACACATTACTTACTATATTTTATTTTTCCTTTAAAGAAGTTTAAAGATCTTATTGAAAACCTCAAGAGTTGTATCTTAGGCTCAAGACAGGTTTTCAAGTGAAATGTTGCTGTTTAAACACACAAAAAATTTTTAATATTAGCACACAGAGTTCGAAGGTACGTTTTGTTCTATCGTTGTTGTTACTGTTGTACTTGGAATTGTATTTTACGACAATGAGTGGTGACTCTCCAGACTATTTGGCATTATACGTAAAATTAAATTTATTCAACGATATTTTATGCGGCTTCCTTTTTATGTTGGTATTTTCTTCGTTTTATTTCTTAATATTTCCTTATTTATTTAATATTTTTTTATTAATACGCTCGAAATAAATCAATGGACTGCCGACTGTGTTTGACAATTTACCGTGTAAATGCTTCTTCTGCCATTTGATGTTATCAACCACAAGTGATTATATTTTTGTCATCAATTCACCACAACTTGATAACACAGCTGTGTGGGGGAAAATCAGATGGCTTTAATTAGAGTGTCACGTAACGTTGGGGGGAACGACGACATGCGTTGTAATAAATTACCGTTATTTGACCGTAGACAATCAAAATGCATGGCATCAAAATCGTGTACGTGTGCGACATGGTTACCCCGCACACGGTTCATACATTCATTTTGATTTTGACATCATGCCAAGCCTGGTTGAGTCTCTAATTATTTTTTCGGTATTTCGGCATCAAAACTTCATATTGATTTTATTTAATAACCCATTTGCCATATTTTTCACATTTAACATCCCAAAGTGCTGACAACAACCGGGAAACTTCCAACAACTCAAAAGCATTTTTTTTTTGACCATGTCGGACCATTTTAGATCCGCAAAATCTTAACACCATGAACTCGGATCTTCCGATTAGTTCTAAAAAATGGCGCCCAAAATTGGGCTGTTAAATGGATCAGTTGAAACAACTATCGCCCATCAATGGATGGAACTAGAGATTTTTGCGTATGACAAACGTCTGAGGAGTATTTTTTTTTATTAAAACAATTAAAATAGTATCAATCGGTTTTGCCGACAGATTTATACCCCCAGCCTTGAGTTATGATTATGCAAACTGCTGACTATCAGACATAATACTGATAAAAATATTACAATGTGACATATTTGGACTATATTGACTACTTACCGTACTTTATATGAGATATGTGCAAATTTTTGGAAAATGTGGAAATATGCGCGAGGTAACCGAAGTATTCCATTTTCATACTTCATCTTATACAGAAAAAATACTGGTATATGCAAAATTAAAAGGAAATCGTACATTTATATCCAATATTATGCGAAATCATAAATTTCGATAAATTAAATATTCATATCAGATTTCTGGTTAAGAGAAATATTTAGATATAGCAAATTGTAAAGAATAGCTGACTGGTTTCCCAAGTTATGACAGATATAAGTACTCGGAATTGTGACCTTTGTGGGTGAGGTACCAGAAGGTGCTGGATGATATATATCGCAACAGATCTTGTGTTAGCAAAAATATTTGGCTGTATGAAATTTGAAGAGAGTTGGATGCTTATCACGCCTTCTGTGAACGTTTTGTTTTTAAAAAATCTTGAACCCGTGGGTGAGGTACCTAAAGAAGCGTTCCGATATCTACCATCTTTTTAACAGATATTGCTTTGATAGAAATATTGAGATGTGCCACGTCTGAATGGAGTCGGATGTTAATTTCGTGTTTTATGAGCTTCACGGATGTTCAAAATTTTGACGCTTTGTGGGGGAGGTTACCAAAAGAAAAATTATTGTGATGTGAGTAATTTGAAGAGAACAGGATGCTTATTTCTGATTTTATGGTCGTTTTGGTTATTAAAAATGTTGACCCTTTATGGGGGAGGTACCAGAAGGAATGGTCTAGAGTTCGGATTCCATATTTATAACAGATCTTGTGTTGATGGAAATATTGAGATGTGCCAAGTCTAAATAGAATCGGATGTTTATTTCGCGTTTTATGAGCTGATTTTGACCCTTTGTGGGGGAGGGTACCAGAAGAAGTGAACCGAAATATCCCATCTTCACACCAGACCTTGAATTATTAAAATTATTGTGATGTGTGCAATTTGAAGAGAAGTGGATGCTTATTTCGGATTTTATGGTCGTTTTGGTCCCTTGGACCCTTTATGGGGGAGGTACCAGAAGGAATGGTCTAAAGTTCGGATATATTTATTTATATATTTATAACAGATCTTGTGTTGATGGAAATATTGAGATGTGCCAAGTCTGCTTCATGGGCATTCAAAATTTTGACCCTTTATGGGGGAGGGTACCAGAAGAAGTGAGCCGATATATCTCATCTTCACACCAAAATAAAAATATTGTGATGTGTGTAATTTGAAGACAATCGGACTCTTACATCACATTTTATAAGAGTTAAAATTTTTCAAAATTTTGACACTTTGTGGGGGAGGTACTTTATGGGGTGAAGCATTATTATCCATTTTCGCACCTGACCTAGCACTGATGCAAATATTAGGATATGCAACGTTGGGACGAAATCAGATTATCCTTTCTCTTTCTATGCAGTTAAAATATTTTCTTTGAAAAGGTTGACATTTTATGGGGAGGTACCAGAAGAAGTGGACCTATATTGTCCATCTCCGAACTCGATCTAAGTTTGACAATAATATTACGATGTACCAAGTTTGGATGAAGTCGGATACTCCCTTTTAGAGTTATCGTGCCAGCCAGACGAACAGACTGGCGGAAGGACGAACGGACATCGCTAGATCGACTCCCAATGTCCTGATAGGGATTTGGTTCAATGAGACCTAGAGTCTAAAACCGATATTTCGATGAGGCACGTTTTGGGGGTATCAAATGATATATACATACCCTCCCTCTGTAGCCATATGACTGAGGCTATAAAAAAGATATAGCCATTCTCAAAAATCTATTCTAACCTAAAAATTGTTTTCAAAATTTTCTAAAAATTAATACATTGCTATTCCTCTTCCACGCGGGAATTTGTGGTAGCGGTTTGTTTTTTTTTTTTTTTGTAGTTACGTTTTATTAAAACGAAGCTGTGTATAATATATATACGTTACAATACATTCCGTAAACGACGATACAATTTGTTTTCAACTGTTTGTGTTATTTTTTTTTTTTCTTTCATCTTGGTTTATGTTTATTAATTTATTTTGTTGTTGTTTTTTTCTGTTTTTTTTTGTTTTTGTTTGGAAAGAACTTACAATAAATGAGTTCAAAGATTTCTTACATTTTTACGTACGACGTTTTCTGATGCAATCTCTTTCAATAACCAATTATTATCAATTTCTATTTTATAATAAACTGTTGTATAGTTGTTATAACACACATTGATCAAATTTTGTTTGTAATGCGCATAATTGCCAATATTATCGTTATAATTATTATTATTATTATTTTTAATATAGTATCTTTTTTCTATAATATTTTTTTTGTTTATTTAAATTTTGGTGGTATTTTTTTGTTTTGTTTTATTTTATTTGTTGTATTAGAAGAATCATCATCCACACAGAGCATATCGAGAAAACATACATCGTTTTTTTTTTAAATTTCTTCAAAAAACCATACACACAAATAGTCATTAATTTATGATGATGAAACGATGTGTGTGTTTGATTCATGTTATGTTTCCTTTTGTTTATTTGTTTTGTTTTGTTTTTTTTTTTTTAAATAAATTTAAAATTACATTTAAAATAAAAATCGTGATTTTTGTGTTTTTTCATATTTTTTTTAATATTGCTATAGCAAAATAAGAAGAGAATCAATAGAGCAATATCCGTTTAACGGATAAAAAAATTATGTGTTTAAAAAAAATAATAAAGTATTTGTTTTTCTTTTTTTTTTTGAGGAGAGCAGCAGCAAAATTAAAATGAACCTTTTTTTGTTTAAAATAAACCCATAAAATATTCTCTTTCCAAAAAGAACCATCATAAATAAAAAAAATAAACAATAGATTACAGTTTTGGAAATTAAACTGTCTTAAAAAATTAATTTAAAATAGAGTTGAAAGGTCACACTATAGAAACAAAATACAAGAAATTGTTGGTTTCTTAATCGGTTATTTGGTCAAAAAATTCAAGATATTTACTTAAAATACATTTCTAAATGGAATTCGAAGAATGTTTTTGTTTAAAACATAAAATAATTAAAAATGTAATGTTACATACATTATCCTTAATCTGTTTAAGAGATATCTAAAAATTCCCTTGAAATAGTCATAGTTTTTATTTAACGTTGGAAAAAAGATTAAGCATGGGACTTGAAGAAGACCTCTAAATAATTATCTTTCATTGTTTCAGGGCCAAAAATGTCAATAAATATATTTTAAAACAAAATCTATTTTGAAAATATAAACAGGATTGCTGTTTTACGATAAGTACCCCACGTTACTACGATCCGAGTTCTACACGGGCAATACAAAAGACCTGAAAAGTTACGAGTCAAATACACGTCATATAACCTCTAATTGACGAAAAACTGGCATTCCAACAAGGTCATCTCCGTCCATTTCCAAATTTTAGTAGAAAGAAGATCTTCTCCCAGGTCGTTTGAAAAATTGAAATTGTTGGAAGAAAAAGGAGAATTTTTCAAGTCTTTCATTTTTATAATTGGCCTCTTTTAGCTTCAACAAACATACCCAAAGGCCCCAAAAAGTTCTTATGGTGTCTAAAGATATTCCAATAAAGTCACCCGCCTCCATTTCCAAATTTTATGTAGAAAGAAAATCTTCTCAGGCCGTTTGAAAAAATTGAAGTTTTTATTCAAGGGTTTCATAGATCGATGGAAGAAAAAGGATAATTTTTTCTAAAGACATTCCAATAAAGTCACCCGCCTCCATTTCCAAATTTTATGTAGAAAGAAAATCTTCTCAGGCCGTTTGAAAAAATTGAAGTTTTTATTCAGGGGTTTCATAGATCGATGGAAGAAAAAGGATAATTTTTTCAAGTCCTTCTCTGGGCCGTTTAAAAAAATTGAAGTTTTTATTCAGGGGTTCATAGATTGTTAGAAGAAAAAGGAGATTTTTTCAAATCTTTCTCTGGGCTTTTACGGGTGGAAGTTCTTTTATACAAACATCAGTGAAGGTCTGTTCAAAAAATCCCATTTCTTTGGAGACATTATTTTTATAATTGACATCTTTAAGGGTGTCCCTTTATATATTCCTTTTAAGACGTTTTCAATGTTCTTTCTTGTCATATTTTATTCAAACCCTCATTTCAAATCATCATCAAAGAGGGCTTTCAAGCTGCCCTCAAAGATCTCCTTGAAGTCGCCTTGGAAAACATATTTTAGGTCATATTTTGAAGCTGCCTTCTTGACGTCCTTTTATAGATCTCTTTCAAGTGGACTCTAAAACCTCATTCAAGACGCATTCGAAGACTTAATTTAATTCATTTAAAAAATCCTTCAAGTCTCCCTCAAGGACCCCATTTAAAGCTCCTTCTAAGGCGTTCAAAACCTAATTTCAAATCATAATTTAAAATGACTTTCAAGATGCCTTCAAAAATCACTTTGAAGTCGCCATGGAAAACCTACCTCAGTTGACCTTTTATCCACTTCCCAATTGACTTCAAACACCTCTTTCTTGACGTCTTTATAGATCTATTATCTATCTATCGTTGAAGATTTCATTTAAGTCATTTTAAAAAGCATCCTTCAAGTCACCCCCAATGACAAATCTTAAGTGGTATTGTAGGCCTCTTTCAAGTGGTCTTTAGCAACTTCTCATAAGGCGTTTAAATCTATTTTTCAATTCATCATTAAAGGGGGGATTTCATTCCTTTGAAACCCCGATTTTTATAGGAATTTAAAATCTCAAACTGTCTTCATAGACCCATTCGGTTTAGACCAAGTCGTTTTACAGGCAAATTGATATCTATCTTCTTCTTTCAGTATACATGCAATATCTTTTTCAAATCGTTTTAAAAACTTGTTTCAATTGGCATAGCAAAATTCCTTTCAAACCGCTTAGAAAACTCATTTCCAGACATTTTAAAACCCCTTTTCGGATCATCGTTAGATTTTTTAAGTCGCTCTTTTAACATATTTTCCAAGTCACCTATAAATTTCCCATTCTATACGTTCACAAGACCACCCTTTAATTCTCTTCTGACTTTTTTTTTGGTATTTATGGTCTCCTCAAACTGTATTCAAAGACCCATTTTGTGATATCTTCAAAAAAGCCTTTCAAATCACCAAAAATACTCATATCAAATCGGCTATTGAAAATGGCAGAGGAATATTCCTTAAAATAGTTTATACAAGTAATTTGGAGGCGTTTTAAAATTCCTTTTAGGATCATCGGAATATTCCTTAAATTGTTATTCTAAAATCTCTTTTATGACGCCCATAAATCCCCTTTTCAATTCGTCCACAAAACCACCATTCATTTCCTTTCAAACTCCCTTTTTTGTTTGAATTTAAAGACTCATCAAACGGTCTTCAAAGACCAATTTCAAGACATCTTCAAAGAGGCCTTTCAAATCACCTAAAATACCTCTATCAAATTGACTATAATACCCTCAAACTGTTTTTAAAGACCCTTTTGAGACATCTTCAAAAAAGCCTTTCAATTCACCAAGTAAAATATTCATATCAAATCGGCTATTAAAAATGGCAGAGATATATTCCTTTCAAGTCGTTTAAACAACCCATTTACAGGCGTTTTAAAATGCCTTTTGGGATCATCGGTAGACTCCTTTAAGTCGTTGTTTTAACATTTCTTTCAAATAAATCCCCCTTTCAATTCGTCCACAAGACCACCATTTAATTCATTTCAAAAAATCCTAAAACCAATTTCAAGACATCTTCAAAGAGACCTAAAATACATCTATCAAATTGCCTATAATACCCTCAAACTGTCTTCAAAGACCCATTTAAGGGCATCTTAAAAAAGCCTTTCAAATCACCTAAAATACTCGAATCGAATCGGCCATAGAAAATTGCAGAGATATATTCCTTTCAAGTCATTTATACAAGTCAATTGCAGGCATTTTTAAATTCCGTTTGGGATGATGGTTAGACTCCTTAAAGTCGACGTTTTCACATCTCTTTCCAATCGTCTAAAAATCCCCCTTTTCAATTTGTCGAAAAGACCACCATTTTATGCCTTTGAACACAAATTTGCTATTAGGATTTTAAGACTCCTCAGATCGGCTTCAAAGATCAATTTTAAGACATCTTCAAAAAAGCCTTTCAAATCATCTGCTTATCAAATGCTTATATCAAAACTGCTATAAAAAAGGCATATTCAAATTCCGTTTAGGACCATTGTTGCACTTTTTTAAAATCACTTTTTAGTTGCCTATAAATTCGCCTTTTAATTTGTTCACAAAACCACCATTTAATTCTCTCGAAACCCCCTTTTCTATTAGGATTTAAAGACTCCTCAGATCGGCATCAAAGACCAATTTCAAGAACTCTTCAAAGAGACCTTTCAATGCACCTAAAATACCTCAAACTGTATTCGTTTTAACATCTCTTTCAAATAGTCTATAAATCCCCCTCTTTAATTCGTCCACAAAACCACTATTTAATCCCTTTGACACCCCATTTTCTATTAGGATTTAAGGACACCTCATAACATCTTCAAAGACCAATTTCAAGACCTCTTCAAAGTAGCCTTTCAAATCACCTAAAATACCCATTTTAAATTGATAATAAAACCCACAACACATCGTCTCTAAAGATGGCATTCAAATCGCCTGTACTCTTAGCTTTCCTCTCAATTCTCATTTTCAATACCCCTTTCAATACTTCTTTTATGTGACATTTTCAACTACTTTCTATTGTTTATAAAGGTCCCTTCGTTTTGTCCGTAAAATAACTTTCATGACGTCTTTTAAAGTCGAGCAATTACAGGCCATTTTTGAACACTCATTGAAGGCGTCTATGACAGCAGCTCCCATTAAATCGTTTTTAAGCCTGATTTCGAGAAGCCTTTAAAACCTTTGTCTTCTCGACCATACAGACCCCTCCGAGAGGATTATAAAAATGCATTTCATGTGAATGAATCTTTGTGGGACGCCATAAAAAATTTGAATTTTAAAATTGCCTTTAAAGACCCCTTAAAAATAACTTTGTCCTTTGAAATCCAGCATCCCTGCTTTCACCTTTAAAAGATTTCATGGGAAATTTTTTCTTCGAATTCCATATGAAGCGCATATGTTCTCTTAAAGATGTATTTTAAGATTGGATTGGATTTTGTTTAGTTTAGTTTTTTTTGTTTGTTTTAATATAGCATTGAAGTAGTGCTGTTTGGGGAGTTGTTGTTAAGAATGATGTGTTTTTTAAAAACAATAATTTTGTTGTTGTTTATATATAATAATATTACATAATTATTATTATTTATATTATTAAATCAAATAACGTTAAGACTTAAAACGTTCATTTTTTTAAAGAGAAAAATTAATGATTTCTTTGTTTTCAAAATCAAATTAAAAAAAAAAATAATAATAAAATTAGGATTAGATATTTTAAATGTTCTTGGTTTGTTGTTTGTTTTTGCTGCGATCGTAAAAAAATAGAGTCCAAAGGAGTGATGAAATGTTGTTAATGGTGAGGGGGTGGGGGTAGGGCTAGAGATAAGGAAGGCAGGTAATCCGTGTAGTAGAAGAAACAAAGAAAAAACGATGTAGAAACAAAAGTCAACTGTGTGCGAAAAAAAAATAATATACTGCGTGTTTCGAGGGAAAGAAGAGGAAAAAGTTGAAGGATACAATTGGTATTCTTTTTTGTTTGTTTGGAAAGTAAATGAATATAGAAGTTGTTGCTGTTGTTTTGGTTTAGATTTGGGATTTTTTTCTTAAAAATTTCCATTTTCTTTTGGAAACAAAAAAAATTAAAGCCTAATTTAAAAAAAGGAAAAAATAATAATAGATCGTATCATTTTTGTTTTTTTTGTTCATATATGTTATATATGATAAAAATAATTATTTGCCAACAACAACAACGACCGTAGTTGATGATGATGGTGTTGATGATGATGATGACAATGTCGCCGATGCTGTAGTAGTAGCAACCGCTCTGGCTGCTGCCGCTGCTCTTTTCAATAGTTGTTGTTGCTTTTTCAATTTCCGTTTTTTAACACATCAGAGTACTTCTACTTTTGGCCTTTTAGTACCAGCATCACATTCATCACCCGATTCCACAATATTGCCACTATAATCCGTTGGCATTTCTTCATAGATTATATCTGGATGTAGACCCTGTAAATTAGGCTGTTGCTGCTGTTGTTGCTGTTGCAAAGTTATTGCCGTATTACCACCACCGCCACCACCGATGACGACTGCATTAGTACCAGCTGCAGCCATTGCATGATTACGTTTGAGAGCAATAAGAGCACCAACGCCACCGCCACCACCTCCGCCGCCACCTCCACTGCTGGCAACCACTTCTTGATGATGTTGCTGCTGTTGCTGGGTTATAACTTGATTTTGATTTGTTATATAGGGGCTGCTGCTGTAATTTGGAAATGAGGAGAAGTTAATAAAAAATAATAAATTAATGCTAATTATTGGCTTACCTATATTGATGGGCATTGTTGGTACCGAATTGTTGAATATTCTGGTTTTGGTAAACAATTTCTGAAAAGACACAGACAAAAGTGGTTAGAAAATTATTGAATTTTTTTGAAAGCAAATAAAAATAATTCTTTAGGTTCCAGGATCCCATGTTTTTTAATATTTAAAAAAAAATTGTTCTCTAGATCCAGCTATTTTAAATATTTGTTCTAAGTATTCATCAAGACATGTTTTTTTTTTTTGAATATTCATATTCAAGTTATAAATATGTATAAATGCCGTCCTTCAGAAGTCAACGAAAAAGTTAGTATCCTGCCTGCGTTTAAAACCCTTTCATGTTGTCCATAAAGGCTCTATCTCCTATAAGCCCTTTTCTATAACCTCAGCCATATGGCTAGAGAGGGTATAAATCATTTGATTCGGCCAAAATGTGCCTCATCGAAATGACGGTTTTAGAGCCTAGGTCTCTTTGGACCAAATCCATTTCAGGACATATGGAGTCAATCTAGCTATGTTTTTAATGATCTACAACGACACGTACTAAATTATTTGTCAAAATTTCATCGAGGTTCCTTTCAAGTCTTCCATTAAAAATTCTGCAGTAAAAAGACACTCATGAGACCGTCTTGAAAGATCCCCTTGAGGCCGTCTTCAAAGATCCCCTTGAGGCCGTCTTCAAAGATCCCTTGAGACAGTGTTTTTAAACACCCTCTTGAGCTGGTCTAGAAAGACATCTGACAGCTCATCTAGAAAGAGTCCTTTCAGGTCGTTTATAAAGAGTCCCTTCAGTTCTTCTAGGAAGACTCCCTTCAGCTTATCTAGTAAGATTCCCTCCAGCTCGTCTAGAATGACTCCCTTCAGCTGGCCTAGAATGATTCCCTTCAGCTGGCCTAGAATGATTCCCCTTAAGTCGCCTAGAAAAGTCGCCCCCCTGAGGTCAACTAGAAAGACTCCCTTTAGATTTTTTAGAAAGGCTTTCTTCAGCTCGCATTTAAAGACTTATTTCTGTTCCTCTTCATAAAGAATGGTATATGGGCTCCTTTCAGCTCGTCATTTAAACTGCATTACTCTTTTCTACTCGTTCGTAAAAACTCCCTCCTGTTCGTTTATGTAGACTTTATAGACTTATTTTTTCTCATGCGAATATCTCATATATGACACCTTTCTAAGAACCGATAGACCCTCATGACACATGCCCTATGGGATCTCTTTTCAAGAAGGCGAAAAGCAACTTAGGATTCTTTTTAAGGTCAGGTCCATTTCGACTATGTTCATTTGAAACTTCATGATACATAAGATATTCGGCAGTTGGAAGATATAAACTCTAACGTTCTTCTCAGACATAGACATCAGCATCTACAAGTTTGCTAAAGGCAAGTCCTTGCTAAGCAGAACACACGGCTAACTATGCTTCTCTTTCTCTTCATCCTTCTCTTTCTCCATCAATCCTATCACCAACTACTTTATTCGGCAGTTGGAAGGTAGGAACTCTTACATTCTTCTAAGACATAGATCCCATCATCTAATTTACAAGTTTGCTTTAAGCAATTCTTGGCTAAACAGACCGCCCTGCTAGCAATACTTCTTTCTCTCTCTCTCTCTCTCTCCCTTTCTATAAACCCTTCCTTCTCTTTCTCCATCTTTCCGATCACCAACAACTATATTCTACCTAGGATGGACACAATGGACCAAAGGTCTCCTAGTGAAGCATTTGCCGACTTCCTTGTAGCTGCGCCTCTTTAAAGCAAACCCTGTTCTTATCGCCTAAAAAGCTCCCCCATCTACCTCTCTCAAGGCCTCTATTAAGACTCTATTCAAAATGGATTTAAAAACTATAAAGTCACTATTTGGATACTCCGTTCGTAAATCCTCTTCTTGTCCTCCTTAGACACAATTTTTTATTTTGGACTTATTACAGGACTTTTTAAGACTTTTCTTTGCTTTTCTGCCAAGCGGTGGACTAAGCAGGAACCTTTCAAGACGTCTACAAAGACACATGTAAATACCCCTTGCTGCTGGCTGTAAAGACATCTTCAAGTTCCCTTTTCCAAGACCCCTTTTTGGTCGTCTAAACTATTTTGAGATTTCATAAACCTCCTAGAATTTGTTCACATCGTTTCCCTTCTAGGAGTAGCATTCCTTACGGTCGCCAAAAAAACGTCAATCTGGTTTTATATATTTACTTGCTTCTGATCTGAAGACTTCTTTCCAAACTCCTAAAAGGATTATTTTTGGATAGTCCATAATATCTACTATCAAGTTACGCAAAAAGTATCCCTCCCGAGAAGTCTACATCTACAAATTCTAAAACTCCTTTAAATGCTTCTATCAAGTTGTCGATGCTGACTTCTTCATGTTGTCTCCAGGACACCCTTCCAGTCGCCTAAACTAATATGTTCATTCAAAGGTCCTCCTCCTAGGATTTTTCCAAAATGTTTCCCTTTCAAGACGTCTATAAAAAGACCGTCTGCAAAAACTTCAATCTGGTTGTCTATAAATATTCTTGCTTCTGCTTCTTTGATTCGCGTATAAAAACTTTCTTCCGAACTCCAAAAATTATTACCTTTGGATAGACTATTATATCATTTAAAAACTAATATCAAGTGGCCCATTAAGTCTCCTTTCCAAGCCGTCTACAAAGACAAATGTTAGGAATCCTTTTCAGGCTTCTATCAAGTAGCCGATACTGACTTCTTCATGTTGTCTCTAGGACAACCTTCTGGTCGTCTAAACTAGTATGTTCATTTATAGGCCCTCCTCCTAGGACTTGTCCACAATGTTTCCCTTCAGGACGTCTATAAAGAGACCGTCTGCAAAAACTTCGATCTGGTTGTCTATAGTTAAACTTGCTTCTACTTCTTTGATCCTCGTCTAAAGACTGCCTTCCGAGCCCCTAAAAATTTTACCATTGGATGGCCTACAATATCACTTAAAAATTATAAAAAGTGGCCCATTAAGTCTCCTTTCCAAGCCGTCTAAAAAGACAAATGTTAAGATTCATTTTAAGGTTCCTATCAAGTTGCCGATACTGACTTCTTCATATTGTCTCCAAGACACTTTTCCGGACGCCTAAACTATTATGTTCATTCATAGGCCCTCCTCCTATAACTTTTTTTAGATATTTTCCTTCTAGACGGCTATAAAGAGCCTGGCTGTAAAAACTTCGCTCTGGTTGTCTATAAATATACTTGCTTCTGCTTCTTTAATTTTCGTCTAAAGACTGCCTTCCGTACTCCTAAAAATATTTTCCTTTAATAGCCTATATCATTTAAAAACTAATATCAAGCGGTCATTAAAATCTCCCTTCTGAGACTTCTAAAATTCAAATGTTAAAGCACTTTTAAGTCTTTTATAAAGTTGCCCATATTGACTCCGTCGTGTCACCTCCAAGATCCCTTTCTGGTCGTCTTAACTATTATGTTCATACATAGACTCTTCTTCTAGGACTTGTCCACAATATTTCCCTTCAAGACGTCTATAAAGAGTCCGTCTGTAAACCCTTCAATCTGGTTGTCTATAAATATTCTTGCTTCTGCCTTTCGAATTCCTAAAAATATTACCTTTTGATAGACAATTTAATAGCTAATATCAAGTGGCCATAAAGTCTGCCTTCCGTGAATTCTAAAAGCCAAATGTTAAAACTCTTTTAAGTATTTTATAAAGTTGCCCTTATTGACTTCTTCGTGTCATCTCCAAGATCCCTTTCTGGTCCTCTAAACTATTATGTTCATTCATAGACTCTCCTTCTTGGACTTGTCCACAATGTTTCTCTTCAAGACGTCTATAAAGAGTCCGTCAGTAAACACTTCAATCTGGTTGTCTATAAATATTCTTGCTTCTGCTTCTTTGATTTTCTTCTATAGACTGCCTTTCGAATTCCTAAAAATATTACCTTGGGATAGATAGTGGCCCATAAAATCTCACTTCTCTGACTTCTAAAACTCAAATTGTAAAGCACTTTTAGGTCTTTTATAAAGTTGCCCATATTGAATTCTTTGGGTCATCTCCAAAATACCTTTCTGGTCGTCTAGACAATTATGTTCGTTCATATACTCTTCACTTCTAGACTTATATAAGGAAGCTCTCTTATAAATGTTGTACATTGAATCTTCCATCCGATTAGGTATAAAACTCATTTCAGACTGCTACTTGATAATTTTTTAAAAAATAATGTCTCTATATTGTCCCTCTATTGTCCCATTCAAGACTCCTCTCAAGCCTGACAGTCTTTAAAGAATGCCCCTATATTGTCCCTCTACGACAAATGCATATCCATTTAAGGCTGTCATCTATAAATTCTTTCCTATGACTGTCTATAAACACTCATTTAATTTCTCCTATTGAGACTCCTTTTTGTCCATCCATTGCTACTCCCATCAATATCCTATTGGTACACTGAAAACTTATTTCAGGGTGTCTACCAAGACTCCTCTCAAGCCGTCCACACTGCTAGTTGACAGTCTTTAAAGAATGCCTCTATATTGTCCCTCTACGAGAAATGCATAGCCCATTTAAGACTGTCATCTATAAACTCTTTCCTATGACTGTTTATAAACACTCATTTTGTTACCCCCATTGAGACTCCTCTTTGTCCAACCATTGCTACTCCCTTCAATATCATATTCGTGGAATGAAAACTCATTTCAGTGTGGTCATCAAGAATCCTCTCAAGTCACCCAGACCGCTACTTGATAGTCTTTAAAGAATACATCTATAAAATGGTTCCTCTACTAAAAAAGGAATAGCCATTTGAGCCTGTCGTCTATAAACTCTTCCCTATGACTGTTTATAAACACTCATTTTATTACCCATCCCATTGAGACTCCTTTTTCTTCAAACATTGCTAATCCCTTCAATATCACATTGGTGCATTGAAAACTCATTTCAGGGTGCCTATCAAGGTTGCTCCCAAGCCGTCCAGACTGCTACTTGAAACTCTTTAAAGAATGCTTCTATATTGTCCCTCTACGAAAAAATGAATAGCAATTTAAGCCTTTCGTCTATAAGTTCCTCCCAATACACTAATTTTTCTATTCCTTTTGAAACTCCTTTTTTTCCAACCATTAGTACTCCCTTCAATATCATATTGGGGCATAATCTTCACATTTTCCCCTTGTCAATTGCAACTGTTCTCTTTCCGTTTTATTGAAATATCTTCCAGTGCCTCCACATCACTCACCATTATCAACATTACGATTTTCCAATGACATACCAGGTGAACCGGGTGCAGATTGCAAAACAATATCCTGCAATGGTGAACTTTCCCGTGAATTATCCGCAGAATACTCTTCTAGAAAATGTGGAGAAAAGTAAAAAAAAAAAAACAGAATTTAAAAAAAAATCCATAAATTAAAAAAAAATAAACCTACCCATGTGACTTGGAGAAACAGGAGCTGAACGTGGCATGCCATACGGTGGCCGTAGACCCTGGCTGCTACGTTGGCGACGTTTCTTATAGCTATGATCTATTAGTTTTGCACCACTGTCCGGATCAATGCGCCAGAAGCTACCTTTACCGGGTTCATCTTGAGAACGAGCAACTTTAATAAAATACCTGGGCGAGGAGGAAGAGGAGATTCAATAATTTAATTTAAATTTCAAATTTTTATGGTGTTAGCTACTGACCTATTTAGACTGAGATTATGACGTATGGAATTTTGCCAACCCTTATTTGTCTCTTTGCGATAATAAGGATAATGCTTGACAATGAATGAATAAATGCCCGACAGTGTCAATTGTTTATCGGGTGCCGCCGATATTGCCTGTACAATTAATTGAGCATAACTATAGGGTGGTTTCTCATTATGATTATAACTGGCGGTTGATGGGGTTTGGAATAAATCTTGTTGCTGCAAAGGGAAAATCGAAAGAGAAAATTAAAATTTAATTTGTATCGGAAGGATGGGTTCGGTTAAGGATGTGCGCTTCACTTACATTTTGTATATTATTATTACTATAATTATTATAGTTATTTTGATTTTGATGAAAACCTTGACGCGGACTAGCCGGGCAACTATTGGCTGCACTTATTGTACCTAAAGAGATAAAAAAAGAAGAAGAAGGGAAATTAGATATGAAGACAGATTACAAAAATAAATAAATAAAAACATAAATAAAATAGCAATGGGGTTTAATTGGATTGAAAACAAAAATATCCCCCGAATTAGTGGTGTGTGTAAGCGGTGCACGTTAATCTTGCCAACAGCCTTTTCTGATCATCTACAGAGAGACGTACTAAATTATTTGTCAAAATTTAGTCGAGATTCCTTTAAAGTTTTCTATTAATAAACTCTGCAGGAAAAAGACCCCCTAGAGGCCGTTCTGAAAGGATCCCTTCAGCACTTCTTGAAAGACCCCCTTAAGACCATCTTGAAGGACCCCTTTGAGACCGTCTTCAAAGGTAAAGATCTAGAAAGACATCCTCCGTCTAGAAAGACTCTCTTCAGCTTGTCTAGAGTCCCTTCAGCTCGTCTAGAAAGACTCCTTTCAGCTGGCCTAGAATGACTTCCTTCAGCTCTCCTCAGAAGACCTCCTTCAGCTCATCTAGAAAGAGTCCCTGTACTTTTTCTGGGAAGACTCCCCACAAATCGTCTAGAAAAACTTTTCGGCTGGACTAGAATAATTCCCTTCAGCTGGCCTAGTATGACTTCCTTCAGCTCGCATAGAAGGATTCTCTTCAGCTCTTTAAGAGAGACTCCCTTCAGTCTAGAAATACTCCCTTCAGCTCGTCTAGAACGACTCCCTTCAGCTGGCCTAGGGAGACTCCCTTTAGGTCGTCTAGAAAGACTCCCTTCATATCGGCTAGAAAGACTCCCTTCATATCGTCTAGAAAGACTCCCTTCAGATCGTCTAGAAAGAGTCCCTCTAGTTCTTCTAGGAAGACTGCCTCCAGCTCGGCTAGAACGACTCCCTTCAGCTCGTCTAGAAAGAGTGCTTTCAGCTCGTCTATAAAGAGTCCCTTAAGTCCTTCTAGGAAGATTTCCTTCAACTTGTCTAGCAAGATTCCCCCCAGCTCGTCTAAACGGCTCCCTTCAGCTGGCCTGGAAGACTCTCTTCAGCTCGTCTAAAACGACTCCCTTCAGTTCTTCTACAAATACTCCCTACGACTCTTCTCTAAAGATCCCCAACAGATCTTCTAGAACGACCCCATACAGGCCACAAGACGTCTATAAGGCAAATATTAAGACTCCTCATTTTAAGACTTCTATCAAGACGCCCATCCTGACTTTTAGGTGTCATATCCAAGACCCTTTCCGGTTATCTAATCCTCCTAAGATTTGTCCACAATGTTTCCCTTCTAGAAGTATATAAAGCGTCCCTTATGGTCGCCAACAAAAACTTCGATCTGGTTTCATATATTTTCATGCTTCTGCTTTTGATCTGAATACTGTTTTTCAAACTCCCAAGACGAACAGTCCATAATATCATTTAAAATCTACTATGAAGTTACGCAAAAATTCTCCTTCTGATACGTTTACAAAGACAAGTGTTAAGACTTCTTTTAGGGCTTCTATCAAATAGCATCGGCATTCGTGTTGTCCCCAACACAACATTCCGCTAGTCTAAACTATTATGTTCATTCATAGGCCCTCCTCCTAGGACTTTTCCAAAATGTCTCCCTTTCAAGACGTTTATAAAGAGACCTTCTGCAAAAATTTCGACCTGCTTGTCTATAAATATTCTTGCTTTTGTTTCTTTGTTTCTCGCCTAAAGACCGCCTTCCAAATTCCTAAAATTATTACCTTTGGATAGCCTATAATTACATTCAAAACCTAATATCAAGTGGCCCATAAAGTCTCCCTGAAGAGACTTCTAAAAAGCAAATGTTAAAACTCTATTTTAGTCTTTAACTTACAGCTCTTCTAGAACGACCCCCTTCAACTCGTCTAAAAATACGCCTAGAAAGACTTCGGCTCGTCTTTAAAAACTCTTTTCAGAACCTCTTCACAGGACCTATTTTATATGCATCCTTTAGCTCGTTATTAAAACTACTTCTCGTCTCTGGACTACCTCCTATTCGTTTATGTAGACTTTATTCAACCCGTCAATATAGCCTTCTTCTTTCTCGTGGCGAATATCTCATATATGACACCTTTCTAATAACCGATAGACCCCTTGGCTCATGCCCTATGGGATCTCTTCTGAAAAAAGGCGAAAAGTCTCATATTAGTCGCCAAGAATTTTCCTCCAAAATTGCTCTTTAAAGACTTATTTCAAGTTGTCTCCTTTCAGCTTTCCTAAAAATTGACCCCCTCTCTGATAGTCCCCAAAGTATTTACTCTTAAGACATGCCCTCATGGGACCTTTTTTTCAAGAAAGCGAAAAGTCCTCTTTAGATCGCCAAGAATTCTGCTACAAAATTGCTCTTTAAAGGCTTCTTTCAAAATGTCTCCCTTCAGCTTCCCTAGAAATTGGCCCCCTCTGGTAGTACCCTCATAATTTACTCTTGACACATGCCCTATGGGATCTCTTTTCTAGAAGGCGAAAGAGTCTTTAAAGTCTTCATTCAAAGAGTATTTCTTCTTTAAAGACTTCTTTCAAATTGTCTCCCTTCAACTTCCCTAAAAATTGGCCCAAATTATTTACTCTTGCATCCGAAATACTTTCTTTTCAGTTGTCTTAAAATGCATATTTTTAGTTATCTAAAAATACATTTTTCTGCTCGTCCATCAAGGGTTTTTGAGGAGGACTACATCTCTTTTTATGCGGGCCTTTTCTATGGTTATGGTTTCCTCAAAAGACTATTTCATTTCATTCAAAGGTTTAAAAAGTATTGTTTTGGCTTGTCTTGTCTTGAAGACTCGAATTATTCCAAAAGGATAGTTTAAACTTAACAAAAGGCTGCTGCTCTTATATCGTCTTTACGGACCCATTTTAAGTCCCCAGAAAGTCTTCATTTGGGTCACAGTTCTCTACATGTCTTCCTTCGAATCGTCCTAAAAACCTCTTTAAATCGCTCTAAAATTATTTTTCCTTTCAGGTCATAATTCTATCTTTAAAAACTGATTTTAAATCCTCAATAATGTCAAATTTCAAGGAGCTCGGAAGGTATCCTCTCAAGTCCTTTAAAAAAGTTACATTTAAGACATTATCTGTTGTGGCTGCCTTTCAAATTCTCTATAAAGTCACATTTTATAGTTTAAACTCAACGAAAGGCTGCTGCTCTTACATCGTCTTTACGGACCCCTTTTAAGCCCCTATAAAGTCTCCACTTGGGTCATCTTATATCTTCACTTAAAGTTCTCTACATGTTTTCCTTCGAATCATCCTAAAAACCTCTTTAAATCGCTCTAAAATTATTTTTCCTTTCAGCTCATAATTCTATCTTTAAAAACTGATTTTAAATCCTCAATCATGTCAAATTTCAAGGACTCTGGAAGGTATCCTCTCAAGTCCTTTAAAAAGTTAAATTTAAGACATTATCTGTTGTTGTGGCTGCCTTTCAAATTCTCTATGAAGTCACATTTTAAGACCTCTAGAAAGTATCCCTTTAAGTCCCCTAAAAAGTCGTCCCTCAAGACATTTTGTGGATGTCTTCATATTCTTCTTCAAGACCTCTCTTCGATGTTCAATGAAAAAAGAAGGAAAATCGGAATAAATAATGAAAATATTATAAAAGAAGAACTTGCCAGTGGGTGATAGATAAGGACTCTTTTGTTCCTTTTTAGGTATCGCTATTTTCAGTGGTGAATAAATAACATTCGAATTATCCACCGGTAGCAAGTGTGAAGCAACGCCGCCGCCGCTGCCGCCACCGCCAGCGGATGTGGCATGATGCTGATGCTGTTGTTGCTGCGATGTAACATGTTGCATCTGATGGCCAGTGGTATGGCCACCATGCAGTTGCTGTTGATGATGGGGATGATGTTGTTGATGCTGTTGATTGTTCAACTCATCGGCCGAGGCAGGTGATATAATAACTTGATGAACATTACTGGCAGAGATGCTGCCGCCACCGCCACCACCACCACCACCACTACTACCACCACCATGCCCACTTAATATATGATGAGAGGAGGCGGAGGAAGAGGATGAAGAGATGTTATGATGATTATTATTCATGGAGCTATTACTCATGTTGTTGTGGCTGCCGGCCAGAGAATCCGGTGGTGAGGAGTCCGTATGCAAGAAACTTTCGAATTGGATGCGTATTTCGGTGCTGGGGAAACGGAAATAGCAACTGGAAGAGAAAAAAAAATAGAAAAACATGCGTTATTGGGGACTTATAAAGGAAAAAAAATGTGACTTATCCTCCCTACCTGGCTGGTAATTTCAAATGATCCGCATTGCGTCTCTGCAAGAAATCATCCACAAATATGCCATTCTTACTCAGACATTGTACGTAGAAATCTCGAGTCTCGGGATCGAACAGAACCTGAAAATGTTTGCGGGATACCAAATTGTTTTCGGCCACATGAAAGTGGACATGAGACGTTGAGGAGTTACGTCCAATAACGGTGCAGGTTTCGGTGATGTATAGCAGTTCGTTTTCATATTTGAGAAAACCCACAGCATGTTCGGGAGGTGGCGGTGGTCTTTGTTGTTGTTGCAGTTGCATTTGCTGCTGCGGCGGCTGCGGGTGTTGTTGTTGCTGTTGTTGTTGTTGAGGGGCAGGTGGGGTTGCTAGCGTCATCGTATTTGAGTTACGATTATTAATCGTGGCAGAATTTGAAGAGGAATTGTTGTTGTTGTTGTTGCTATTGTTGTTATTGTGAGCAGGTGAATTTAAGCCATCATTGATGTTGTTGTTGTTGTTATTGTTGTTATTATTCAATGCCGAGCCATGATGCAATTGTAACATATCTTTAGCTATAGCCACAGTCGCAGCGTCGGCCGTAACCGTAACACTGCTGCTGTTGCTTGAATTTATGTTGTTGTTGTTTATGGTGAGGCTGTTACTGCAACTGTTGTTGGAAGATGTAATGCTGCTGCTGCTGTTGTTGTGGTTGTTGTTGTTGCCGTTGTAAATGTTGCTGCTATTATTAGCGTATTGATTATTGTTGTTGTTGCTGTTGTGGTTATTGTTATTGGTATTGCCGTAGATTTGGGTATATTGGGTGGGCGGGATATTAAGGCTGTTGTTGTTGTTTGTTGTCGTAGAACCGGTGGCCATGAAATATTACAGATTACTGTAAGAAGAAAGGGGAAAAAGACAGGATTATTAAGAGTGATGATTATTAAGCAAGTAAAAATGCAGCTAAGTTCCCAACTTTTATACCCTCCACCAAGCGGAAGGAAATTGAAAATTTTCAAAAAAAAATTCCGTCTAAAAATACCTCTCAAATGAAAACCTTTACATGAGAGCTATACGAAGACGTGGAGCAACATGATAAGTAATTTTTAGTCATAGGCTGAAGTAACAATTCCGAACTTCAAATACGAAATTCGAAACAATTTTGGGTTATTAATTGAAAAATTTCAAAAAAAAAATCCTTCGAAAAATACCGCTCAAATGAAAACCTTTACGCGAGAGCTATACGAAGACGTGGTGCAAGATAAGTAATTTGTTGTCATGGGCTGTAGTAACAATTCCGAACTTCAAATACGAAATTCGAAACAATTTCGGGTGAGTAATGTTGCTAATATCATCAAAATGCCGAATAAAGGAAGGTGACGTTGTAGGGGGGGCTATACTAAGACATGGCCTGCATAGACAATTTTCCGTCATAAGTTGCAGTACCCATTACGAACTTCAAATACGAAATTTGAAATAACTCCGGTGAATAATGTCGCGAAAATTCTGGAAATATCAAATATCTCGGGGTAACGTTATATGGGTGCTATTCTAAAACGTAGACCTATATAGAGAATACTCTTCCGGGGGGTTAAGAACTCAAAAGGAACTCCTTTTGTGGATTTCCATTGAAAAATGTTGTTAAAACCTCGCTTATATGGGGGATACACGATAACGTGGATCTATATAGACAATCCTTTTTCAGGGGGATAAGTACTCACCAGAAACTCCTTGTGTAGAAATTCAGACGATTCCATTGAACAATGTGGTTAAAATCGCCAAAATACCTAATATCGGAGTGTATTATTGTATGAAGGCTATACGATATAGTGGACCTATATAGAAAATTCTTTTTCAGGCCGTAAAGTACTCACACAGATCCCAATTTCCGACAATTCCATTAAAAAATGTGGCTAAAAACATCAAAATACCGAATATCGGGAGTTACACTTATATGGGGGATATACGATATCGTGGACCTATATAGACAATTCTTTTTCAGCGGGTAAAGTTGCCAAGAAGAACTTCTTGTGTAGAAATTCAGACAAATCCATTAAAAATGTGGCTAAAATCACCAAAATACCGAATATCGGGGGTACCTTTGTATGGGGGCTATACGTTATCGTGGACCAGTATAGAAAATTCTCTTTCAGGGGTAAAGTACTCACAGAGAACTGCGTGTGTAGAATTTCAGACATTTCCATTAAAAAAAAATGTGGCTAAAATCATGAAAATACCGAATATCGTACGATTTCGTATATCCCCAACAGAAATGTACCTCCATATTGGGGATATACGATATCGTGGATAGACAATTCTTTTTCATGAAGTAGAGCAGTCAGGAAGAACTCCTTGTACTGAATTTCAGACAATTCCATTAAAAAAATGTGGCTAAAATCATCAAAATACCGAATATTGGGAGGTACACTTATATTGGGGATATACGATATCGTGGATCTATATGGACAATTCTTTTTCAGGGGTTAAAGTGGTCATGAATAACTCCTTGTGTATTAATTTAAAAGATTCCCTTGAAAAATGTGGTTAAAATCATCGAAATACCGAATATCAGGAGGTACACTTATATCGGGCTATACGATATCGTGTACCGATATAGCCAATCTTCGAACCTGCAGACAAAAGACTGAGTTCTGTGCAAAATTTTAGCTTCCTATCTTTTTTCGCTTTGACTCAAGCATTATTACAACAGACGGACAGAGGACGGATGGACGGATAGGTCTAATTCGTCTAAGATTTTTATTTTATATATTATATACGTATATACTTTGTTAAGTCTAAAATCATTATTTCAATTAGTTTCAAACGGAATGACGAACTTAATATACCCTCCATACTACGTATATTGGAGGGTGTGAAAACAGGCGAATTACCGACCTAGACAGGGTTAATGCCAGATCAAATCATATTTTATCTGACGAACCAACCTTCGTTTTGAAAGGCATTTCACGCGACTTCAATGTGGTGGACAACTAGATCACTGCAATGAACAGAAGGGTAATTCAAATCGGCAGAAGACTTGGGACTAGTAAAATGGTAAAGAATCCCAGATCCAGCAACATTTCGTAATTGGGAAGTATCATTTCGGAAAGATATAGGCGTACGTGTCGTCTGACCCCAGTTTCCTATTGCCTCAACGAAGAGTAAAAAAACAGGCGAATTACCGAATTAAGGGCAGGAAAATCATATTTTATCTGATGGAGGCAACCTTCGGATGGTTTCGAAATGCATTTCAGGCTGCTTCGATGTGGTGTTGAATTAGATCACTGCCATGTACCGGTGGGCCATTCAACTGGGAAAAAGGCTTGCTCCGATGTGGGATCAAACATCCTATGTCTTTCCAAAAGGCTATACTCTAAATTTAATTGTTAACAGATCCCTCTCCCTATAACTAACATCTTTATCAAGGAAGGAAAGTCTCTGAATGGAATAGTTGTCATTAAGGCCAATAAGTGGTACTTTAAGTCAATTCAACCTATCTTTTTGGATACAAGTGTTGTTGCAGTCCAGTATATCTAGGGACGTTGTGAAGCGAAGACCCACGACAGCCCTTGCATCATAAATTTCTTGCTACCGAAAGAGCTGAGCTTACAATTCTTAATCGGGTAGAACTCGGAAATGTCTGGATCAAACCATTTTATTGGCTACAAGGACGGCGTGTAGCTAGGTTAGCTTAATTTTAAGAATGTGCTGCTCCACTCGGAGACCATTGGTCCATCATGTTTACCCTAGGAAGAATTAGTGGGGGATATGAAGGTTTGCTTTTACTTTTAGCAAACCCATGAATGACAGTGGAGGTTCTACGTCTAAGAAGAAGACTGTCAAGTTTCTATCTCCCACCTACCGGGCAGCCTATGTAGCTGTAGTAGCCTTGCTTGACAGCATGGAACATCTGCATTGTAGACACTTAATCGGACCTAACTCTTCTTCGTCCTGACATAGTCTACGGTAGTCAGGACCAATGTTAGGTTAGGTTAAAGGATGCGCGGTTTTATAAACAACTACTCCACTCGGAGACCTATTGTTCCATTGTTTTAATCCTAATTTCAAGAAGATAGAAGAATAGAATAACGGGAAGAGAAGGAAATGAATAACGAATAGTGAAGAAGCGAGAATCAGTACCAATATTGCCCCGCAATGGCCAGTGAATATGCCCACCACAATTCTTAGATCAGACCTAAAAAAATTATACAAGACAGCAGGTTTTTCTGATGGGAATTGCCTGCCAGATGAACCTAGATACCTTACAACCACTTTCCAGGTGTCACCTTTTTCGATGAGACATAATAGCTTATAAGTGGCTTTAAGAGACCAAAACCTGCTTTTCGTCAGCCACTTCATTCTCCACAATATAACTATGTCCTGGAACCCGACAAAACTCAATGAATACACGTTTTTCAAGAAGAGCTTTCTTGTCGAGGCCAAGAATGGATCTCGATTTAATGGCACTTTACTTGAGAGCTTTGGAGAGGGGTATGCCACAATTTTTTTCGTGTTTACTTGACAAAGAGGTCAGCTGAAAACGTCCACCTTCGATTGTCCGAGCACCAGACCTTAAGCGCCGGCCATGGTGATGGTGTGGACCGCTATAAAAGCCGATGGTCGCTCTCCGCTCGTATTAATCGGCATCAAAATATATTCTGGAGGCTGATTAAAGCCTTGGGCACGCAAAGCAAACATTTTGGCCGCAGAATTTGGACAGTCCAACAGGACCCAGCATCGCATCGCACCCAGCACGCGCCACCCAAGAATAGTTACAAACCGAGGTTCCTCGCTTCATTTCCAGAGGACAATGGTCACCACAATCTCCGGATACCAATCCGTTGGACTATTGTGTCCGGAGTTTTTTTTTTTTGGGAAAGGAAGGTTGACACTAAAAAATGCCAAAGTATCGATCACCTCAATCAAGCGCTGCTCCGTGAATGGGCCAAAATACCGCAGAGAAAGATTCGGGCATTTCCATTGGCCGTTTAAAGGCCATTATACGTGCCAAAGGTGATCAATTCGAACAAATCTAAACTTATTCTAAAATTTGATGCTATTTCCGACATTTTTTGCTTTCATTCAATAAAATTTTAAAATTATGGCGTTTGACTTTGTTGCAGTTTTTTTATCCCACCCTGTAAATCCGAGTGATTTCAAAACCTGGGCCAGACTGAAAACGAAAATTTGTTTGTTGTATGTTGTCACTTTTTGGATTAGCCATTTTTGGTGGGCGATTTCCTTGTGACCTTTATGTCTGAAGGTTAATTGTCGTCCGTCTCTAATATTAGTATTCCTTTACCACGCGTGTCCCCGCCAGAATCTATAATAAAATATATATATTTTTAGTAAAATTTAATAATATTACAAAAGTATAAATTGTATTATTTCAATACTTTTCAAACTCATTTTTTTTAAATAAAAAAAATTCATTTGGTTTTCAAAAAAATATGTAATTATATTGACCACCATATCATACGTTTCTGAAGGAGGCCAACCACAAACAATCAAAAAAAAATTCTAATACCCATTTTCAAACAAACTTGTTTACAAAACACACACAATGTGTCGCCAGCCATTGGTTCGGTTCGCATCCCAATTTTTTTAACAACAATAATAATAATAATAAAATGAAAATAATACGAGAAGGGATGATGAATTTTATGGGAAAGAGAAAACCGGGCAATCGGTAAGCAACGGCGGCTTACGTGCCACTGTGTGTGTGTGTGTGTGTGTGTGTGTGTGTGTGTGTGTGTGTGTGTGTGTGTTAGTAAAAATAGTGATGGAAAGGGGCAAAAGGGGTATAAACTTCTGCAAAAATTCCTTGGAGAACAACTTACAACAAGAAAAAACAACAAGCTACATGCTGGAACAAACAAAAACAGACGGACAGACAGACAAACAGACAGATGGATTGTTGAAAAGGCCGACCCGAAGACATACAGATAGCAACACATTTGAAACATTTGGTGGTGAACATGTGGTAACAACAAATTATTCTTAGTAATGTCCATTTTTCTTATGCCACGCCACGCATACCGGGGGGAAATGTTGTAAACCTTTTAATTTCGATATTTTCTTTTGCAAAAAAACAAAACACCTTTTTCAAAAAATAAAATTATTAAAAAAAAGCCGCAGACTCAAAAGTTAACGAGTTATACACACGGGACGACCCGTGGGGGGTACATACACACCACACTCACACACACACACAATGATAAAAATTATTGTTTCTTCTTTTTTTATTTTTGTTTTGTTTTTGGCAAACTTCTTGTGCAAATTATTTCATGTTCGATGATGGAAAAGAAAATCCACGTGGATTTTGCGGACGTCGTTTATAAATAACACTGCTGCTGATGTTGTTGTTGTTTTTCTTTTGTTTTTTCTTAACTGAAATTTAGGTTGCGCTTTGCTTGGACGGTACGGTATGGTGCAGTCAGCAGCAAATAACAAAAACCACTCACTAATTTTATGCTCTTCCAGATGATAGAACCCGAAACAGCAACAACGTCGTCGCATTCGCTAGCGCCTCTGACAAGCAACAATAACAACGAATAACGAAATGAAAAACACACAATACCGAATTAAACATAACCTTATTTTTTCCTCCGTTCAATGTATATTAATTACATTATTTACAAAAGGCTCAGCACAACAGCAGGCAGACAGGCAAGCAAAGCAAGCAAGTAGCAGTCGGTCGTTGTGTTCTTTACTAACGACGACGACGACAACTGGCTCTGTACACCACCAACAATCACCACATACACGCACTTACACACACTTGTAGTTATAGCTGCTGCTGAGAATAAAAACAAGAAAGGCAAAAAAATAATGTCTGCACCGCGCACTGTTTCGTACAAATCAACCAATCGACCAACCAGCCGCACGTACTCACACAATCTCTTTTAATAATAACAAGACGACGAAGAAGAAGCAGCAGCAGCCAAAAAACCCGTATACCTCCTCTCCAATGGCAGCAACACAAAACAACAGCAATAATAATAATAACAGAAACAATGAAAATAATAATAAAAATAAATATCCACAAAAACAAATGATGGAATATACGTATGATGGGGAGAAGACTTGAAAAAAGAAAAAAACAGAGACACACGCACGCACACACACTCACTCATAGGTTCGTGCAAACACGAACAAGAAAAGAATCGGCAGGGCAAAGTAAAACGGAACAAAAATAAAATGGGAACAAACTAAAGTGGAAATAGATGGACGTAATTGTAACGTAGAGCAACTTTTCTAATTGGAATAACGTAACACAAGAAGGGGGGCTTAAATAGGGTAAACACAATCGAATAATTTGTTGTCATCAAATTAATGAAATATAAGTTAAACGACTTAATGGGAGTGAACAAATTGTGAAACAAGGAGGTCTTAAATAGGGTAAACACAATCGAATAACTTGTTATCATCACATCAATGAAATCCGAGTTAAAAGACTTAATGGGATTGAACAAATTGAGAAACAAGGAGGCCTTAAGTGGGGTACACACAATCGAACAATTTGTTATGATCACAGCAATTAAATCTGATTTGAAAGACTTAAATGGAGTAAACAAATTGAGAAACCGGGAGATCTTAAATAGGGTACACACAATCGAACAATTTGTTATGATTACAACAATAAAATCTGAATTCAAAGACTTAAAAAGTGAATAAAACGAGGGATTTTTTTAAATATCTAACTTTAATAGATTTGTAACTGCGATAAATTGAAGGAAGTTGCAAAACGTTTTCAGGTAAAGGTGAAGGAACTGACAGGGAGAGCCGGATATGAAAAGATAAATAAACAAGTTTAAAAAGTATGAGTCGGTTTTGCCGACAGATGTATACCCTCAGCCAACATTCGATGATTTAAATATATTTTGACTTCCGTTATGATGATTATTGGAATTGTTGAGCCTCTATGGAGAAGGTTCCGAAGGAATGGGACAATATTGGGATGTCTTGAATCCTATGTGAGGGAGGTATCAGAAGGAATTTTCCGATCTCTACCATCTTTATAACAGATATTGTGTTGATGTAAATATTGAGATGTGTTAAGTCTGAATGGAATCGCGTTGTATGAGCTTCATGGATATTCAAAATGTAGAGCACTTTGTGGGGGGAAGACAATCGAAGCCTTAATTATTCAAAATGTTGACCCTTTTGTGGGGGAGGTACGAGAAGGAGTGGACCGATATATTCCATTTTCACAGCAGATCTCGTGTTAGTAGAAATAATGGGATGTGTGAAATATGAAGAGAACCGGATGCTTATTTCAGACTTTATGACCGTTTTGGTTAATCAACGCTTTGACCCCTTTGTGGTGGAGGTACCAGAAGGAATGGCCCGATCTCTACCATCTTTAGAACAGATCTTGTGTTGATGGAAATATTCAGATGTGCCAAGTCTGAATGAAATCGGATGTTAATTTCGCGTTTTATGAGCTTCATGATATATATTAATGAAAAATTGTGATTTGTGTAATTTGAAGATCATTGGACTCTTAAATCTCATTTATGAACACACCATTTGTTTCCTGCCAAAAGACATAAGATCTGTTCCAGAACTGCAGGAATGTTAAACTTTTTACTACGATAACCGATTTTTTCCGTTATGAGATCGAAGAAAATTACAAAAACTTGTAGATTCTTGCAGGTTCTAAAACAGAGGAATAATTGCGATTTGAAATTCTAAGAGATTTAAAGCGCAAAAGTGCAAAAACTACTAAAGCAGTCTTCTTGGCCGACCTCATATAGGCCTTGAATTATTTTTTCTACGGTAGCCTTGTAATGTCAAAGCATATAAACTGTTGGTCTGTTCCAGAACTACAAGAATGTACAATTTTTTACAACGATAACCGATTTTCCCTTTATGATATCGAAAAAAAAATTGCAAAACTGATAAATTTTCGCAGTTTCTGGAACAGAGCAAGTAGTTATATTTGTATGTTTTTTTTTTTTTTTGACTCAGAAAAATAATTTTAAATAGTCTTTAAAATAACTGAACTCCATATTGTGAAAAATCCGCAAATTTCAATAATTTTTCGCGAGTTAAAATATTTTAAGATAAGTGTTTCACAAACCAAACTATTTATCGTAGATTTAGTAAAAAGTTACAAGACTCTAGCTTCAGAAATCCGAGTTAATTCAACCTGATGCTGGATTATTGTTTTATGCAAATTTTTCCCTTATAACACTTTTCATTTGACTCTTTTTTTCCTTTATATTTGAAAATGTCATTATTTCACACAAATTCTTTCAAAATAAACTCGTCCTAATTCAATAAATTACGATTAAACCCTTTAATGTAAACATAACCTTACAATAAATCACTTCCACTCATTACGCTAAGCATACGTTGAGTTTACGTTACGTTACATTACATTACAATATATATATTTTTCATCTTTCTCTCTTTCTCAATGTGGTTCAATGTTTACCTTTTTTGTCTTGCTATATTTTTTGTGGTTGTTATGTTTTGTGCTGCTAATTCGCCAATTTAGAATCCGCAATCGCAATATACATATACACCAACAACGGCACAGCAGTGGCAGCCGACACAATTGGATCGGTGTACATACGATTGAAGAACAACACACGAAGAATCGGTTGGTTGGTGTTTCGGTTCTGTGTTATGTTTACGTACGACGAAGAAAACGACGATAGGTTTGCTCGTGTTTTGATTCTTGTTTCTGACTCTGCCTGTCTGACTTGTTGTGTTGTGTTGATTTTTTTTTTGTGTGTTGTTTATGGCGGCGAGTTCTTTTCAGTTCTGCTGCTGCTACACCAATCAATTTTTGCACAAGAGCGACACAATTACGTTTTCCAACACTGTCGGCAACATTAATGTCTGCCGCTTTTTTTGTTGTTGTTGTAAGTGGTTTACTAGTCTTAATTGAAAATGGAAAAAGCGAGAAACTTAGTTTCGTTTTTTGTCTTTTGCCGGGAAATGTGAAATTTACGATTGCTCGTAACGTTTGAGCTCGGTCTCTAACAAATTTGATTTGTTTATTTTCTTTTACGTTTTTCCCTGGCTCTTTTGTGTCACACCACACTCACTCACGTACTCTTTCTAATAACCGCGCTATTACATTTAAGTAATCACTCTCTTTCTCTCTGTCACTCACTCACTCACTGCTTGCTTTTTTTCTGCCAAAAACCCATTCAATATTGATTTCGCGTATTTCTGCTGTACGATGTGTTGACTTGTTGTTGTTCTTTTCCCTACTGACTCTGAATGTTGCTGTTATTGTTGTTGTTTACTGTATTTGTTATTGGTGGTGTTAATTTGATGTTAAATATTGTTGTTGCTGTTGTGTCGTTGCTGCTCCCCTCCTGTTGTGTTGTTGACAATATTGATGTTGTTGTTGTTATTGTGTATTGCACACTGTAAATAGGAATAACAAGAAACGAAATAAAAATAAAGAATCCAACCAAAATAAATACCGCGCACACAGAATATCACACACACATGCACAATGCCGAGGCACACAAACGCACACACACACACACACACACACACTCCGAAATACAACTCTGCTATTGTTTTTTTTCGCCTTATTTTATTTTGCTCGTTTAAAAGCCGCTGTTTTTTGTTCTTCTCTCTTTTCACTGCCGTTCCGTTTTATTCGTTTCTAGACTCCACCTGTATTTTTTATGGATTTGTTTTCTTCACTCAACTCGTAAATACACAATAAATTACACGGCCGGGTTTCTGTGACCACACTCACGAACGAACAAACGAACCCCTGCCCATTGGAAACGGAAGCCGCCCCGCAAACCTCCTTCCTTCTTTTTTTTCTGAATGATGTTGTTCAAACAGAAAATAAGCAAATAGAAGAAAAAATCCCCATTAACAGCAACCAACCGACGATTGCGTAAAAGCAAATACTCAGCAAAACAACAGCTAGGCCACCAATGGAAAAGAAAAACACAATACAAAATTAAACAATACCGACCGTCCGACGATCGTAGCAACCGATGAACAATGAAGAAGAAAAATAAAATATGCGGCCAGGCAAAACGAAATTTTCATTCACATCAATTACACCAAGAAAAACAATTTTTTAACAAAAACAATGTTTACACTATGTTTAAACTATTATTTTAATATTTTTTCACTTGTTTTGGGTTATTTTATAATTTTCAATGAAAATTTCTTTACTGACAAAAACGTCGTCGTATAAGCACGTTGTTTTCCGTCAAGCGTTTGTTTCTATGCCATTCGTCGCCGTATTCCTACTCTCTTACACCCTCTCGCTCTTTCCGGACCCAACTAACCATCCACACATCCATCCATCCATCCACTCTTTCAAATAGACACAACTTAACCAATCAACTAACGAGCCGACCAAAACGACCCGCTCTTCTTGTTGTTGCTGGCTGTGTTGCGGTGTGTGAGTGTGTGTAAAAAAATTGTGTATTTTTTCTGTATATGTGTGTTATTTCTTCTCGATGTCGGTATGTATATTTTTATTCTTTTTTTTTTTTGCCTTCTTCTATTTTGTTTTTTCTTCAAAACGTAGAAATCACGATTTTTCAATTGTTTTTCATTGAACTTTCATAACACACACTTTCGCAAGAACAATTGTCAATAGTTTTTGTAATTTTTGTTATTTTTTATAGCTAAATTAACAATAATATTATTGTTTTTTTACACTCGCCTTGATTTTGTGCACTAAACACACGATAATAGGGTGACGTAGGTCGACTATCGATTGAACGACATTTGAGCAGCAACAAAAGCCAGTCGATGGCTTTGTTGATGTCGACTTGCTCAGTTAACTCTTAAGTGGGGTACCTATTGATAATCTGGTTTACTAGCGTAAAAATATATAATATCATGGCTCAAAAAGAAAGGTTTTTCAATTCCATGGTAGAAGAATATTCTTTTACCATGTTCAATTCAAAGTAAAATGCTACTATGTACTGGAATCAAATAGACATTTATATTTTTTCAAATTTTTTTCCAATACTAATTTTGGGAAAAATCACAAAACATGAACAAAGACATAGAAGTATAAAGATGGGACAAGACAGAGTAAAATATGGCAACCCTGTGAAAAATACCTCTGTTGTTATGATATCGTAACAACATAGTTATAAATGTTAAGCAATTTCAACCGCTAAGGCCATATGCAATTATTTGGGAAGGTATATGGAATAGAATTTTGAAACTAATATTTTGGATTATCCAAACTTTTATTGGTCATTCTTTCCTATAATTGTGTTTTTTATATTAACATGCCTCTGCCATGAGCTGTTATTCAAGGTAGTATAGCCACAAACCATTTGCTCAAAATGCATTTTGTCTAGTCTTTACCATTTTAGGTCTTTGACATGAACGCATTGCTGGGGTTATTCTACAAAAAATGAGTCCAAAATAAAAGGAAAATACGTACAGTTTGTTGTCCATTAATATTGAAAATATGCATTTGTGTTGCAACTGAATTCGAAATAATTTCGAATTATTTCCATTTTTTTCAAGGGTAAGATATACAGGGTAAGATAAAAAACTGCAATAAAATCAAACGATATAATTTTTACATTTTTTATTAAATTTTATTCAATGAAAGAAAAAAATGTCGGAAATAACATCAAATTTTAGAATAAGTTTAGATTTGTTCAAATTGGTCACCGTTGGCACGGATTATGGCCTTCAAACGGCCAATGAAACCGTCACACGCTGTCCGATTGTTGATCTGCGGTATTTTGGCCCTTTCCCGGCGAAGCGCTTGCTTGAGGTGATCGACACTTTGATATTTTTTGGTGCCAACCTTGCTTTCCCCAAAAAAATCTCCAGACACAATAGTCCAACGGATTGGTATCCGGAGATTTTGGTGGCCATTGTGCGCTGGAAATGAAGCGAGCAACCTCATTTTGTAACCATTCTTGGGTGGCTCGTGCTGAGTGCGATGGTGCTAAGTCCTGTTGGAATGTCCAAGGTCTGCGGTAAAAATGTTTGCGTGCCCAAGGCTTTAATACACCCTCCAGAATATTTTCGCAATAGTATTCGGCATTTATTTTGATGTCACGATCGATTAATACGAGCGGAGAGCGACAATCGGCTGTTATGGCGGCCCACATCATCGCTATGGCCGGCGCTTGAGTTCTGGTGGCCTCTTTTGAGTCTATTTTCTTTCCATTCCGGTGAAAGTTCTTGCACTTTTTGGAATTTCAATGGCTTTACCCCGAGTTCATTTTTCAATATTTGCCGAATAGAATATGGCGATATGTTCAGCTTACGAGTCATGCTTTTTTCTGAAATGCGTTTTTCTGTAATTTTTTTTAAATTATGCTTTTATTCAGAATCTGTAAAAATCTATGAGTTTCCCAACTTTTTTTTGGACACCAAGAGGAAGAAATGGTTATCTTGCAGGTTCTTGAAGAGACCAATTTTTTAATGATATTTTCATTAAATTCCATGGCAGAAGAATACAGGTAGATGATATGTCAAAAAAAAATGTTTTTTCAAATACAAGTAGATTTTCATATGTGTTTTTATACTACGTTATTCGGTGGCTATTATAATTCGTGTTTTTCAACAATTTTTACGAATTTAAATAATTTTTCGTTCAATATTTTCAATTCCAAAATTGGTTTGACAGTTCATTGTCCCAGCAGCTGTGTCGACGCGTCTACCTATATTCTTCTACCATGTTAAAATCGTTTTTTATATTGGCAATTCCATTTATTTTCTAAAATAAATGAAGAATCGTTGAAAGTCGCCTATATTTTATGCATTATGTGTGGTCCGTTCAATTTTGTTTGCTTTCGAACTATAAAACCCTTCTGTCTCCAGGGATCAGCTGCCTACTTACACAATTTAAGTTACGTTCCCAACTAACTGCATAATCTTGTAATGTTTTCACATTTCTTAGCTTTTGCATATCTGTAACACTGAAAGTACTTTGTTTTCGTTTCCTACATTCCAAAACAATCGAAGCATCAGAAAAAAAACCTAATAAAACACACAAAAGATGAGCGAGAATCTTAATTTACAAACCATAAAACTGGAACCAGCTCCATCAACTCCACCCGAAGATAAGACACAACACGATATCAAGGCTAAACTTCAGTCGCATGTGAAACGACGTTTGCATGAATATGGACAGAATGCAGCCGAAGATGGCCACTCAATGGAGACGCATACGAATGCAGGTGGTGCATCTACCCTAAGTGATCACAAAAAGGATTCCCCCAAAGAAGTTCGCCAAAAGAGACCCTACCACAAGCGGACAGATAAAGTAAAGGATGCTACGTCCGCAGCCCCCCAGCAACATAGAAAATATAAGCAAAAAATGAAACAACAAGCTGTTGTCTCCGATTCACATGACGACAATAGTATGCCCGCAACAAGCAACACGATTTCGGGAACGATAAGTGCTGGCGATGAAGATGAGGCAGCCGGGCACGATAATGATATGCGAACAAATCGTGAAAAGGAAAAATGTCCCGATGTCTTGGCTATGGTATTGAGCATGAAAAAGCGCGCATTGATGCAAGATCCAGAGGTTCAAAAATTTCTTGCCGACATAATGAATGTAATAAAAAGTTGAAGGGAAAGAAATGGAATGATGGGTTGTTTTTTATTACATTTTATTCGTTTTTTTTGGAGTGGTTGGCTGCGGGATTATTAAATCTTGACGTAAAGTTTTAGCCTCTGGGTAATATTCATGGTAGAAGATCGCAGGTAGTCGCATCGACCCAGCTGCTGGAACAAGGAACTGTCAAACTAGTCTTGGAATTGAAATTTTTGAATGAGAATTAATTCTTATCTGTAAAATTGGTAAAGAAAATAACAACCTCCGATTGGCGTCGTGTTGGCAAACATATACAAATATATTTATTAACATTCAAACGATTTTCACATATCCATGGTAGAAGAATATAGGTAGACGCATCGACACAGCTGCTGGGACAATGAAGTGTCAAACCAATTTTGGAATGGAAAATGTTGAATGAAAAATTATTTAAATTTATAAAAATTGTTGAAAAACGCAAATTATAATAACATCCGAACGTCTTCGTATAAAAAAATATATAAAAATCTACTCATATTTGAAAAAAACATTTAAAATTTGTTGACATATCAAAGTTCCCAAGCATTGATGTATCTACTTGTTTTCTTCTACCATGGTAATATTTCTACATTAAAAACGCTACTCTGTTACCATTCTATTCCACTTAGAGGAACTTCTGCAGATACGGGCAGAGGTTACATTTATATTCCTTAACGCTCCTACTACACAAAATTACTTAGCGTTGCCAACTACCCTAATACATTGCCATAATTTTGACACATTTTTTTACTGGGTAAATAATTTTCCTCGTCCCAACCCTTCTGCATCATCACTCTTTTTCTAAATAATGGCTTTTTTTCTCAAATCTTTTCTCCTAAAATACTCGACAAATTATATCAGCTGTAGTCCCTACTCTCCCATACGTTACGTTGCCAACTAACTGAGGTTTTCACATCTCTCATCTTTTGCATGGATGACAGTAAACATAATTCTCTTCTCTCCTATTGGCTGGTTTGTTTTTTTAAATATCATTGTTTGCAAAGAAAAACAAACCCTCTCAGCCCCACTGGAAAAGGAAAATCGTAATTTATTAAAGGATATTCTACAAAGTAACCCAAATTTATCAAAAAACACAAAATGGTATGGATACCAAATAAAACATTTAGTAATTTTTGAATAATCTACAATTGTCTGGCAAATTGTTTAGTTTCATTTTAGTGGCTTTAATATGATGTTCCCTGAAGCTGGACGTAACTTCAAAGCTTCGTACAAATGTTTTTCGGTATCAATGTTGCCGGGCAATGAGCGACAGGATGTGGAAAATGGAGGAAAGAGTATGATTTGGCATAAGGCAATGTAAATCAATTCTCCTAAATATCTGATTTGGTTGCTTTTAGTTATTATGCCACCCTCAGCATTGGATTCCCTGACCCGTCTCAATGTGGAATACCCAATGCTGTTCAAATTGATTAACAACAAAAAGGCCCGTACCTCACACGCTGGCGTTTTGGAGTTTGTGGCCGATGAGGGTAAATGTTATTTACCCTATTGGATGATGGATAATTTACTGCTGGAGGAGGGGGATATACTGACTATTGAAAGTGTCTCCCTGCCAGTGGCCAAGTTCTCGAAATTTCAACCTCACAGCACCGACTTTTTGGATATAACCAATCCCAAGGCTGTATTGGAAAATGCTCTAAGGAATTTTGCTTGTCTTACAACGGGAGATGTCATTGCCATTAAGTACAACAAAAAAGTGTATGAGCTATGTGTGCTGGAGACAAAGCCCGGAAATGCTGTGAGCATTATTGAGTGTGATATGAATGTAGGTTGTTATACTGGCATGTGGAAATCATTTGAAACGAATATATTTTTTGATAATTCTCATTATTCCAGGTGGAGTTTGAAGCCCCAGTTGGCTACAAGGAACCCACAACTTCCAAGAAAGTCGAACCTCAAGAGGAAATGCCACAGGACCATGTTATGGAAGAGGTTGTGGAGACATTCAAGGGTTCCGGTGTTCGTTTGGATGGCAAAAAGAAGAAGGATAATCAATTGGATGCCCCCGTCATTAAGAAGGTAAGGTCTGCACACAGAATATCCCTTCTCATATTTATGTTTCTACTCCCTTTTTCCCAGATCCTGGCTCGTGGTGTTCCCGACTATGATTACCAATTTGGCTATCTTAAATTTGATCGCACCATAAAACCCATTAGTGATCGTGTGGCCGAGGTAGATGCCAGTCCAGCGGTTCAAGAGAGTTTCCAAGGCGAGGGCTTTTCCATGAAGAAATCACGCAAATAAAACCCGCTCTCCTTTTTTTAACAACAATGTAATCTATATTCTTTAGTTTTTAAAACAATGAATTAATAAATGTGCAGGACTTTTTACAAAGGTATTGTTAGTTTTATGACTTCTGGTGCCTTTCCGGGTGGTGGCGGTATCAATGTCATAGGTGGCAATTTCTTGATTTTACGACCAAAGCGGCCATCCTTTCTCTGCCACAAGCCGGAACGTGGACGATTGCCCAATAGACGCATTCTCTGGGCTGAGCCAATGTGTTCTTTGTTGTGTTCAATGTTGCTGACACGACCCACAGTGGCCATGCAGGTTTTGTCAAAGGCATATTCACGTTTGGAGGGCAGTTGGACCACAACCTTATCATCGAATTTTCGCAATATGGTGCCATAGGTGCCAGCTGCATGAATCAAATGGCAGGGATAACCGGGATTCTTTTCCAGATTGTGTATTCTGGTGCCAACTGGTAAGGCACCCAAAGGATAGGCATCGCCCTCATTGGGACGTACTGAAAACGAAATTCAATTTGTTATTAACTTTAAAAAAGCACATAAAAATCCAGCCAACTCACCTGGAATACGTGGAATAAACCGGGATGTCTTAATAATGTCCCCAGCCTTCATGTTTTCAGTAGCCAAAATGTACTTCAACTCATCACCAACTCCCACCAAAGCTATTTTGGCCGTGCGACATCCATCATCCAAGATTTCAATTACCTTTTCCTCTTGGGGTGGACCTTCCACGGGACCATCCCGTACCCACTTAATCCAATGGTATTTCTGTTTCAAACCACCACCAATACCTTTGGCCACAACACGTCCAGTTACCGGATCACGACCAGCCAAATGGGTAATTTCCAATGGTTCCACTGTGTATTCATCTTTAAAGTGGACAATTCGCCTAAATTGCTTGCCATTGCCGGGTTTGGGTTTCTCTACAATTTTTGTTTTCGTTCTCAATTGAATTGCGGCAATGGTTGAGGTGGCGGGCATTAATAAACTGTGACGTTGTGTTTGTATGGCACAGTTGGCCATTAATCGTGTTAAATTATTCATATTTTAATTAATTTTTTCGTTGATTATTTAACAAAAAACGACGACAAACACCTCCTCCAATAAGAAATGAAGTGTGTGCAATGTGTTGTATGCCAAAGGTGAGAGCTGTGAAAAGCACAGTTAGTTGACAGCGTTACGTATTGGACAGTTCAGACAACAGCTGATTTAAATAAAGAGGTTTGATTTAAAGAAAAAAATGTCTTAATTTCAATAATTGTATTACAAAGAGAGCTTGACATTTGATATTTTTTACATTTTTATTGAGAAAAATGTAATATTTCTGGAATACACATATACATAAGATGGGAGATGTGAAAATTACATTTACTTGGTAAGGTAAAGTTTACGGAAGTTGGCAACTCGAAAAAAATCTTAATATAAATGTTTTACTAAACTTCTTAAATGTTATCTAAAATGTAATTTGCAAAGAAAACATTACATAGTTTATGATATCATAGTATATGAAAAAAATTGTAAAATTAATTATTAATTATAAAGTTTACAAATCCTTTAGATTAAGTCATGTAAAATAAATAAAAAAATTATGAAATCACACAAAGATCATCAAATCTTTTTTAAAATTAAGCAATATTTCAACAATGCAAAAAAATGCACAAAATTAAGTAATAAAGCTATTTCAAACATAACTTGCATCTTTTTTTAATGACTTATGCCATGTTTACATTAGAACTTTTGCAGGCTTAACCTACTTCGAAAGGATTTATTTGACGTATAAGTAATGGATATGACAATTTAAATGCAAACCCAGTGGGTTAACCCATTTACTATATGTAAATGCACCGTTACAAAAAATTAAAAAATCTGGAAAACTAAAAATTCAAATAATTAACCAATTATTATTCTTGGGAATTCTACAAAATGTTTAAAGATAAATCAATTAAAATCAACAATAAATCATACAAAATATTATTTTTCGGAAATCTAGAAAATATTAAAAAAAATCAATCAAAATACAAAAAAAAATCAATCATGACTTACAAAAAATAGAAAGTCATACCTAATTTTTGACATGGGGTCAATGACCTTTTGACATGGGTTCAATGACCTTTTGACATGAGGTCAATGACTTTTTGGCATGGGGTCAACGAACTTTTGATATGACCTTTTGACATAGAGTCAATTACCTTTTACGGTCATTGGCCTCATGTCAAAAGGACAATGACCCCATGTCATTATTTCATGCTATGTCAAATCATCTCATGACCTTATGACATGAGGTCAATGACCTTTTGACATGAGGTCAATGACCTCTTGACATGAGGTATATGACCTTTTGACATGAGTTCAATGACCTTTTGACATGAGGTATATGACCTTTTGACATGAGGTCAATGACCTTTTGACATGAGGTCAATGACCTTTTGACATAAGGTCAATGACTTTTTGACATGGGGTCAATGACCTTTTGACATGAGGTTAATGACCTTTTGACATGGGGCCAATGGCCTTTTGACATGGGGTTAATGACCTTTTGACATGAGGTCAATGACCTTTTACTGATATAATAAATGCATGATTTTCTTTCCCTCTGTTCATTGAAAAAATTACGAAGGAAGTTTGGGTTATTTACAACTATTTTTCTTTGAGTTTCTGCTTTTATTTTCCATTGACAATTATTCATCCCTGTATGAGCATTGCATAATTCTTTTGTAATTCCATTGAGGATCCTTGGTTTTCCCTAATTATAGACCAGTATGAACATTACATGACTCCCTTGAAATTTCATTGAGAATACGTGAAATAAAATATAGCTGCACGGTAAAATTATGATGTTAAAGTAATTTCAAATAAGCATATCCATCCCTGCATTTTCTGTAATATACCTTATAAAATTTCACTGCATTAAAACTAGGCTTCCATTTCTGATTTCTGTATATACAATGGATTTATGAATTTATTTCTTTAACTATATTTTATTTTCATTTATTTTTTTTTTTTGCTATTTGCAACATTTCCCAATGCAAATTAATTGTTTTCCTTTAATGGCCACCCCGTATGAACATTGCATTGCTCTCTTGTCAGTCCATCAAGAATTCATGTGATAATTGATAACTGTCATACCACTGTGTTTGACGAGCGAAAGAGTGCTTGCTTTATAACAGAACGGGCAATTTTACGCTCTTTTGTTTTGTTTGTTTGTTTTTTCCTTTGCCAACTACCAAATGGTATCACACACATTTGTGCAATACACACATATGTATATGACAGTTTCATTTCACTCTCTCTCACACTCTCTGGCGCTCTAACTCTCGCTGTGAAATGAAAGCAGCCGTGCCAAAGGCATTTGTTCGTTCTTTCATTGGCAGTTTGTTTGGTTTGTAACATCATCTCGCCAGAGTAACGTATAAAAACCGCATAACGTGCTCTATATTCAAACTATAAATAATTTGGATATAAAAAAGAAATACAACATACTCTAATAACAAGCCGTAGAAGAAGAACATCAAACAGGAGGAGAACAAGAAGAAGAAGAAGAAAAAAGAAATATTCTTCAAAAAAAAAAAAAAAAAAAAAAAGAAAAGGGTTTTTAAAGAGCAAAAAAGAAATAATAAATAAAAACCAAAACTGCAAGTGTTAATTTTTGCGAAATCAAAAAATTAACAATTTAACAAAACGAAAAATTGTTAAAAATTTCTGTTCAAAGAAAATTTTGTGTGCCGAGAATTTTGAAGCGAGAAAAAACGTTCAAGTTTTTCCTAAAGTGAAACACAAGTGAGTAACAAATGAAAATTTATTATTTTTAAAAGTGTAAGGAACTTAAGAACATGGCAGGATAT